GAACCACAGACAGCGTCAGAAGCGTCTTGCCTGGGCTAAAGAGAAACAGGACTGGACTGCTGGTGAGTGGTCCAAAGTCATGTTCTCTGATGAAAGTAAATTTTGCATTTCCTTTGGAAATCAAGGTCCCAGAGTCTGGAGGAAAAGAAGAGAGGCACTTCATCCACGTTGCTTGAAGTCCAGTGTAAAGTTTCCACAGTCAGTGATGGTTTGGGGTGCCATGTCATCTGCTGGTGTTGGTCCATTGTGTTTTCTGAGGTCCAGGGTCAACGCAGCCACATACCAGGAAGTTTTAGAGCACTTCATGCTTCCTGCAGCTGACCAACTTTTTGGAGATGCAGATTTCATTTTCCAACAGGACTTGGCACCTGCACACAGTGCCAAAGCTACCAGTACCTGGTTGAAGGACCATGGTATCCCTGTTCTTAATTGGCCAGGCAAACTCTCCTGACCTTAACCCCATAGAAAATCTATGGGGTATTGTGAAGAAGAAGATGCAATACACCAGACCCAACAATTCAGAAGAGCTAAAAGCCACTATTAGAGCAACCTGGGCTATCATAACACCTGAGCAGTGCCACAGACTGATCGACTCCATGCCACGCCGCATTGCTGCAGTAATACAGGCCAAAGGAGGCCCAACTAAATACTGAGTGCTGTACATGCTCATACTTTTCATGTTCATACTTTTCAGTTGGCCAACATTTCTATAAATCCTTTGTTTTTATTGGTCTTCAGTAATATTCTAATTTTCTGATATGATGAATTTGAGATTTTCATTTGTTGTCATTTGTAATCATCAAAATTAAACAAAATAAACATCTGAAATATATGAGTTTGTATGTAATGTATGAATATAATATACAAGTTTCACTTTTTAAATGGAATTACTGAAATCAATCTACTTTTTCATGATATTCTAATTTTATGACCAGCACCTGTAGTTGGTCGCCGGTTAACACTATGCCACTAGATGTCATTAAAGATGACATATCATTATAATTTTCTACCACTTTACTTTGTGTTTTGTAAAACTCATGACCATAATTTCTCAAATAAGGCGTCCCTGATTTAGTTTGCAGTGTTTCGGTGCCAAGTCATGTGCAGCAACAATCTATAGCTTCAGGCAACCCTGCTGTGGCAGTTTAAGAAAAAGATCTTTTAAAGAATGTTTTCAGTCACTTTTCATTACGAATACCTTCAAAACGATGTTATTTATGGCCTTCTAAACGGTGGCTGCACTAAAAGAGTCGTATGTCACTCTCATCAATATCCCTGGCCCTTAGTGGCACCGCTTATGCTGTCTGAGGCCAACACAGGTCAGAGGCCAATGCTGGTAACCCTCAGGTTCCTTCACATGGCTGGACTGGTGCTCCGGGACTGTTTAAGTAGTGGGAGGATTAATGGGGCCCGATCTGACTTTGTGGATAAACGAGGGAGGATTTATGAGGCTGACGCCTGGGTAATGGACCCTGACTGTGACCATGGAGTGGCCTCGGCCACTCCACAAAGTCGTATCATTGACTTTGTATTGAAGAACAACAGCGTGAGTGGGTGGTTCATGGATAAGGGTTCTCAGTAAGGCAGTCTATTTGTAGAGCTCATTTAGAAAATCCATAACAGCCACTTTGGATAAACGTTCATCATTCAGTATCTGGAAAATTTCCTGGGCCCAGTAAGTTAAGGTGCTGCCCAGTTATCCTTGCAGCTGTTAAAGGGCTTTTGGTTAGTTATTTGATGATCGCTGTTGAAAAGATAGTTACCCTTTTCTATAATGTACATTTCTCTTTCACAAGGTTCCTGACATTCATTCACACATTCTGACTATTAACAAGACCCAACTTCATTTTAAAAGAAAATGAAGTGAACTGTGAAATAAGATCTACAAGAAAAAGGAAAGCAGTATGGGAACACCATAAAATTCAGCTAAAATTAACTAATATATAAAATAGAAAAAAAACAATAAACATCTTGATCTCAAAAGATTTTCAAGTTACAGGTTAGATGGCATCTTTTCTGTAAGTTAGAAAGGATGCCTGGTCTGTGCTCTGATTGACAGACTGACAGCAGCAATGACTGCAACACAAAGATTGAGAGGAATGTACAGTAATGATAGTTTTTTGATGTAGGGGTCATATGAGGTGGAGCAATTTTCTCCACTGTCTTCATTGGAGATAGGTTGAAGGAAGTTAGGGTTGTAGAAATATAGAGGCTACCAGGGGCAACCAGAGGGATCTGACCATAGACTGGAAACTGTTTCTATGTGTTTCATTAGTTTTGCGTGTTTTAGATTAGTGGTTCTCAATCTTTTTTGACTTGGATACCCCTTTTTTATTGTATCATCAGTACCCCCCTTAGTCAAAAATATTGACGATTGTCCAAAAGTGGAACATACAATGAAATATTTAATTTAATTCTTAGTCATTTTATGATTTCTATCTGAAAAAAAACAACAAAATCAACATAAATATGTTGCCTGGAAGTAGGTATCGAAATCAATACAAAATAAAATCATACTATAAACCTTTATTTATGAAACTGGTGCTCTTCTGAGTATGTCCCTTGTAATCACATTTAAACTCGATGAATTGGGAAAAAGATACAGAACAAAAATAATAGTCAGACTGACTTAATTAGTTTGTTTGTTTTCATCAAGACACCTGAGCTGCTTTGATGAGCTCCTATAGCTCTGTGTGAAAACGGCTGATTTCAGGCTGTTCTCTACATCCAGCCTGTTCTTCTGCTTGGTTTAGATGTTTGTCACAGCTGAAGGTGAACTCAAACATATAAGAAAAACTTTTAGATGATAGTTATCTCTAGATTAGAGGAAACTATAGAACCTATGATCTGTATCTAGACTCGCTCCAACTCCCTATGGGCCCTGTTGGAGACGGACACGCTTTAATACCCACAGCAGCAGAGCTACTCATATAAGTTTTTCTGGGTGCTTGGTTAAAAAAGCCCTTTGCCCATAGAAAAACATGTGGTGTTTAGTCTGAAGTCTGCTTTGACACCCCCAATGATTAAAGAAGTGAAAATAACCAACGAGATCCAAAAATAGAGGAAACATAATTGAAGCAAGCTTCCAGAAAGTTTAGGTCATAGCCAGAGGTTCGTTGAGTCACTTCTAGAAGAAAATGTTCTTTTAAGAGTAGTTTTACTTTACCATACCTTTCACTTTTACTTTATAGTCTTACAAGGTATCACCACTCCTACTTGGGTAAAATTAATGGTTATTCTTCTTTTCATAGATTAGGTGAAAATGCAGTAAACAACAGTTATTGTCATTGAAGAAGTTCTTTACCCTGTTAGGACTGGTTTTACAACTTCATGTTAAAAAAATCAATAAATACATTTGCAAAGATGTTTCTTCTGCTCAAATTTGTCTTTTATTTGCACCTAACTTTATGTCTATTAACATCATTAATTCAGACATTGCATCCAATTTTACCAGGTACTTATTTTACTCTTGATTAAAATCGATGATGGCTACTTTCTACTTTTACTTGAGTAAAGATATATTACAGGACCGCTGCTCTTATTTGAGTAAAATTTTACTTTTCCAAACAAGATGAATTGTGCTGAGATTTGTGAATGCACACAAACTTCCCCCAAAACTACATCTTGCCAGAAGCCAATAGATGCAATTTCCTGGAATACCCGCATCTGGCTCTAACTAACAAGTTCTTGTCCCAGATCTACTGTACAACGAGCCAATGCATTGTTCAGTTCTTAATTTCTAGCTTAGTTTGTTTTTGTAAAACCAAATGCAAATGGCCATTTTAAGTTTAAATGAGTGATGTGAGCTGATTCCGAGACACAAAGATCGAGTATTTTAGTTAGCTATGAGGTAGTGAGTTAAGGCCACTGGCTGTGGCAACTAATCAAACAGGAAACAAATGATAGTTTCTGATAATTGGTGGAGAAAAAAAATGGTCATACAAGCTTTAACACAACATGAAATTGGCTAAACATGTGGTTCAGTTTGTTTGGAGCTGAAAGGATATTTGTGCTTGTGTCAGAAATGGTTGGAATGATCATTCTTCATCTGTCCTCCATCGCTAACCACAAACAGACGCTCACACACAAACGGTGACCCCTTTTAGTTGCTTCTCTCTGACCTGTTTTCCTTCTCCGCTCTCTTATTCTGACCACGTTAGACCAGGACGCTGTCGCTGACCCTCCAAAGAGAGATTGATTACAGGAAAAGAGGAGAATTCTGTTTGCTTTCCCTTTCTGTGTCTCAGTTTTCCTCTTTCACCGTTTCTCTGCTCTTTTCTTAGCTTTTTGTTTATCCCACACATCTTTTTTTCCCCCCCTCTCTCACCATCTTTATTTTTTCTCCTCTGTCAAGTAAAATTTGAAACACCCTGCTATAGATTTTTTCCTCCTCAAATACTAGCCTGCTCCCTTTGGGGTGGATAATAAAAGCAAGGCTCAGCACATGGGTCTAAATTACATTGCTTTGAGTTGTTTTATTGTGGATTCAGACCTGCCCATGTTCGCTCTCTTTCCGTCGGCTCTGGTTAGATGTGGAGAAGGGCTGTGGCCATTGGGCACAACACGATGCAGAATGAGTGTATACACTGTGGCAGGGGGTGCTGCTGAAACGACAGAGGAGCTTTGTGATTGTCTCTAGGGTGGAGTTATCCTAAAAATAATGTGACAAAGAAGGTTGCAGGTTTTAATCTGAACCAGTGTCATGCTGATCTAAGTTTTATGTCTGGTCCCCTTTTTTTTTTTTTCTTGTCATGCAACAGACATTGTATTTTTTTTCTAATTCTACTAAACCTAACTTCTAACTGAAGAGACAGCCTTTTCCCAATTACCTGTAAACTGTTAATGTCGACTTGAGATATTCCTTTTTTTTTAGATTTGTAATGTTTTTTGTTTTTTTTTTATTGCTACTGCCAGATATTCTGTTTCATTTGAAAGTTGTTTTTTTTGCATCCCTCTAGCGTTGTGTCTTCATGTCTTAACGTCGACCCTTTTTCTCACAGATACACCTTTACTAGTGAGGAGCAGCAGCGACTCTGCTTTGGCTCCCCCTCAGGAGAAGACCCCCTCTCCTCCACCTGATGAAGAAAGCTACAAACCTCCTCCTGAGCCTGTAAGTATCTCTTTGGGATTGTCGCATAATGCCAATATAGACCAACATTCCAAATATAATTTTTTTTTTTTTTTATTCCAGTTATTTTACCCGTTCTTTAAAGCAGGTATTATCAATCAACTTCAGCCATATGTTAATGGGAGCAACTAGGGATGTAACGATATTGACATTATCGCGCCATCGCGGTTGTCTTTCAAAGGTGTGTCCGTCAGGTGTCCGTCAAAAAGCAAGAGGATTAAACACAGTCCCGTGGAATAAATCATTAACTACATAGACCATGATCCTTTGCACTGCATCGTCATACCAACCGTCCTTAAGCCAATAGGGTTGCACGCGGATTGCACACTGTCCACACAAGCTCGAAGCAAGCTAGCATGGCCGACAGCGATAGTTGTAAGGATGAAAACAACAACCCCGAAGTTGAGATGCTAGCCCCTGCAGCTTTTAAGTCAGATGTCTGGAAACGTTTTGGTTTCGCCATGTCAAAAAACGCAAAAGGAGGGAAGGTGGTGGAAAGACAATGCAGGGCGGTATCCTATTCTGTCTTCATTAGCAAAGACCTACCTGTGTATACCCACTACCTCGGTGCCCAGTGAAAGGGTATTTTCAACAGCAGGGGATATTGTAAATGCCCAGCTGTCTCTTCTTCTCCCTTGCAATGTAGATCTTTTGATCTTTCTGATGAAAAACGTGAACATAAGCTAACTGATAGGTCAGTGTTTTTTTAAGAGGCTTTTTGACTGACTGCTTAATTTAAGTTTCAGTTATATTCCTAAATACCAGTTTTAAAAGGCTGCTTTTACTTGCCCTGCACATTTAAACCTGACTTAACTTGATATTTATTTGCAGTTAAAGGGAATTCCCTATTTAGTTTACAATTGTTCTGGTTGCTTCTTAACTTGAACTTTGCACAGAAGAATCAACAGAATATTGATGTTCCTGACAACAACTTGCACATTAAAAGCACTATGTGATCAGCTTTTTATGTTGTAATGATCCATAAATGCAGCAATAAGTTGCCTGTTTACTGGCAAAAGCAGAAAAAATGTCTGTAATTTTTTTGCTATTATCATCGCAAACACTATCGTGAGCTATTTAACAGTACCGTGAGCTTTTCCACAATATCGCCATAAATATCGTACCGTGAGGTCAATATCGAAATTGTATCGTACTGTGAGATTTTGATATTGTTACATCCCTAGGAACAACATCTTGCATTTACATTTAATTTAAACCAAACTGCGGACCCAGCTAGTATTCCAGTTTTAGCCTGGCTTTGGGCTTCAGGCTGTATTTTTTTTCTTTTATGGGCTGTCCTCCTTTCTGGGACACTCAGCCATTAACAATGTTTTTGTCTGCTGCCTTTTCTCATCCCATGCGTGTAGAGTTGAAGCCCTTCAAAGCCAGTCTAGAGTGCGTCTGTGTGAGCAAGGGGATTGCTCAGGTTGTGCGCTCCTGCTGCGTTCAGCTCAGCAGTGACTAAGCAGAACGCAGGGATCAGCGGGCGACGAGTAAACACAATGACATGTTTCCTGTCCAACAACCACGCTGGGTCTCATGCGCTTCATGCAGGGCAGCTGGGCCAGAGTGAACACGCTCAGGCTGCATATGTCTTTAAATAACCTGACAACTGTTTATTCAATCCAAATCTCTGCTTGAAGTATGGCTACAAATCAAAGCCATTGGAGTCTGACTAAACCCACAGATTGATAAATAAAAAATTAGTCAGGAAAAACATTAACAGAGGCCAATCTTCAATTATATAAAATCAATATAATGTATTAAAGCATTAAATCGCCTAAGAAATTAGATTGAAAAATAAAACTTCTATAGTGGTCAGAGTCGTCACATAAAAAGTGACATATTTGAAGGGGAGGTGTATTGGTGTAGATATACTAAACTTATTCTTCAATCTTTCCAGAATGAACTAAATTACTTTCCTGTAACCACTTCAAGCTGAAATTAAACATCAATGGTATCAACTGACTTCCCAGTTCAGCTCTATGTAGCATTAAACCTAATTTCTACTGGGAGCTTCAATGTGCTGCACAGCATTTGAGAAGTCCATCCATACATCCTTATCTATCCGTCTTTACATCAGTTTTAGTCCATTCATCTCTCATTTATCCCCTACTTGTCATATATCTGCTCATCTGACTGTTTACCTCCAAGTTGCATCATGAATTTCGTCTGGCTGTTTATCCATGATTCGAAACATTAGCCATCACTCTTATCTTCTTGTTGATCAATCTGTCCGTCCTCTTGTAGGAACACAGATTAAAGATCATCTTTTTAAAAGATCAAACCATACGACCATATCTTGACTTTTTACTCCTTAGGAACAGAAATCTCCACACTTGGTGACCAAAAGAAACCCCCCATTCAATTCATGCACATACGTTTCTCTTCTTTATCTTTAAGCAGCCATTGAAAGCACGATTAAGTGTATTTCAGAGTAACACTGTGATTAATATAAGCTCTGTGCCGCAGTAATGGATTTCTATTTCTTCTTCTATGGTAAAGGCCAAGGTTGGCCGTGTTCTTTCAGCTCATACATCTCTTAGTCAGCCTTTCAGAGGAGCTAATGAAACTGGCAAAGGGCTGAACAGTGCTAAAGATGCAGACGGTTCTTTAATGAAACTAAACTGGCTGCCACGTTCAAACCCAATAAATGAGACCTTTAATTTTACCAGCCGACTCCAGAGACTTCTTACTTCTTGCACCTTTCACCTCTCTCTCTCTCTCCAACATCGTATGTTTCCAGTCTGTTTGCTCTTGTCAGCAGCTGGAAACTCAGTGTGCACAATGCTCAGAGTACACAGCATCTGTGTGTGATTGGAACAGTAGATGTGATGTAGAAACTGTAGGTCAGGGAGCGTCTACACTGAAGCTGCCATCCAGCATCTTTACTTTCTCGACTGGCTGACACGTTGCTGACGGAAGTGCAGAAGAAAAACACACAGCTAATTACTCATCTGTCTGGCAGCAACCTCAAACACACTCGCATTGTGCACCTTTCACACGTTTGCACACCTGCATGTCACTTGAACATGCCTTTGACAACAAACAGCATCTGAAATGGAGAAACACGGGTGACGGCGAGCAGCACAATAACACTGGGGACAGCCAGTTTGTCGTGCTTACATAGCTTAAAAGACAGCTCTCACAAATTATGTGATCGTACAAGCTGAAGCAGCTGATCCTGTCAGATTCGAATCACACGGCATGTTGTGTTACAGCAAAAGCAGTGATTATATTAATGCTATTTCATTAGTTTTTTTCCCCTAAACTAATTCTAGTAGGAATCACAGCGAAACATTAAAGGAAAATTTACCCATAATACCGCACAGCAGCAGAGCTACTAATATCAGTTTTCTCTATATTTGAATGACGTCACAATATCTTTGGAGCCAGTACTGATATTAATTCAAAATCAGATCCAGTTAAACAATAAGAGGGCACCAAACAGAGAGTTTTAGAGCTTAAAAAGTAGGATTGCTATAGTTGTGCGGTAAATTTTCAAAAATAAGGCTTTGGACGTAGAAACAGCTTTATAAGACATCTGTTTATTATTACTTTGGGGTTATTTTTGAATTAAATTATACCGTTTTTTCACCAAAAAAAAAAAGTCAATACAGGGAGGAGTTGTCTTTAGGTGCTAAAAGGATCAGCTGAAAAAATATCCATATTGGTATTTTCGCCAAAGTCCTGAATCGATTCGATTTTGATTCATACAGTTTCAAATCGATTAATTTCGATTCAATCTGTTTTTACAATAATGAAAGTGGTTTCAAAACAATCGTGTATTTTATTTTTTCCTGTCATATTGAACACAAAGTGCAAACTTGTAAATCGGACAGCTTAAACTTAAGATGTGAACAAAATTGTCTCAAAAGTGCAAACTTGTTTGTGAAAAGGCCTCACTCGAGCAAACAGATGTGACACAGCGGTGACACAGCAGAAATGCATGAGCTGCATTATCTCCACTGCGCAAACCATATTTGCAGCATTGTCTGTAACAAATACAGGGTGTTTGCTGGTCAGCCTCCATTTGTTAATGTCTTCAATCACCCTATTGGCTATATTTCAAGCTGTCTGGCTTGAAGAATTTTGAGTGCATCTTTCCTGCTCATTTGAATGTGAACGTCACGCGTCATTTTAAAATTAATCGATCTCATTCCCTAGACATCGATTTTGCAAATGTAAAGGAATCGATTAAAAATCTATTTTTTTCACTGAACTCTAATATCCACTATTTTATAAATATTTGCATAATTTGACATATTTGCACCCACATTGTCTGCTCCTAGAAACCTTTTTAACCACGCTGACAGCTCAGGGCAGAAAAATATGGTGGACGATCAGCAGCTCCTATTGAGGGTTTACAAATATAAAGATTAAGAGAGATTTTTAGATCAACATACTGTCCAAATCTATTCTAAATAAATTAGTGTCAGAGTTGCATGACACCAAGAGGCTTTGGAAATGTTGTAAACAGCTGTGTTTTATAGCTCTACATTGAATGTGGTGTTGTAGGGTCACACAATAATAGGTAGAGCGGAGAAAGACGTACAGGGTACAAAGGTTGCAGAAGTTGTCTCATTTTCTTGTGTAACATATGTGTGTCAAGCATAGCTGGAACTAAACTGTTTCCTTATTATGCTAACAAATAGTTGGCCATCTATAATTAACAAGACTACGAATTTATACGCACCAATTAAGTAAAACTCTAATCTCTTTTTAGATTGTTAAAGTATCACGAAGGTATAGCTTTTATTGCCCATTTAGTTTCTCATCAGAAACCCACCTCTTCTGCCAGATATAGAAACCATTTCTTCTTTCTGTTTTGCAGAAATCTCAAATGTTCGTTCCCTTTAAACATAATAGGTCAATTTGGGATCAAATGTAATGTAAAGTGAAAAGTAGGACAGAGTTATAAAAATGTATTAATAGATAGTGAAATGTCACTGACCTGGTTCCTATTTGCCAGTTAGGATTTGCTAAATATCTGGAAATGTATTTAATAATGTTTATTAAAGATTTTACGCTAATGAAAAGCATAGACTTTAATCTACAGTTTGTTAGGTAGAAATGGAGACCAATTTTAAGAACTAACAAATATCGTACACATGGTAATCAAAATAATGATGCTTCAAGGGCTTTAATGGGTGGCATAACATCACCTATAGGCATTTTTATAATATATATTCATTACTGTGATGAAGAGCAGCCTTTGAAGTATCCTAAATTTTGTTATAGTCTTTATCATAAATAAAACTTTGATTTTTTACCAATGCGTATTCTTTTGAACTGCTGATTTATTTATTTAATTTTTTCTAATTTACCCAATTGGGTTTTATAAAATAAGATTTTACGGTAGCCTTACTGTCTTCCCTGGACCACAAAGCTAAACTGTAATAAGCTCAGTTCAACGTTAACACATCCTGCCATCATTATTGGAGTATTTCAAGATGTTGAGCTCAAACTGATGGCAGTGAGATGATTGGCTGAGCACAGCAGGGAGTATGAGGAGAGGAGCTGCTGTTGACACATGTGAATAAACTCCAGTTCTTTGAATCAGACATCATATGCATGCTAAAACCCATGAGGTGATCCCTTAACGCAGTGGTTCCCAAAGTGTGGGGCGCGCCCCCTAGGGGGGGGCGCAATGCCATTACAGGGGGGGCGCGGGAAGCGGTATGGATGAATGAAGAAAAAAAAAAAAAAAAAAACAGTGCTTGCTTGACTGAGCATAATGGACAGTTGTGACACTGCAACCCAGATTTGAGAAGATCTGCAGCAACAAGCAGGCTCACTACAGCCACTGAAAAGATGGGAGGATTAAAGTACAAAGAAAAAACTCTCAGGGAGCTGTTCAATGTTTTCACTCCATTTTGCACAGAGGCTTTTTTAATGTATTGATGATAGCAAAGTTAAATATTGTTACAAATAAAAAAAAAGAAATATGTTTAAAATAACACAGACAACAAAGAATCCTCTTCTAATCTACATTATAGAACTATGAAAAAAATACTGTTACACAAAAGTGTTCCACTGTAAAGGTGTAGTTTGTTTTGTTGCAACCTTAAGTGTGAAATAAAGTTCAGTGGAGTTTGAAAACAAAATATGTGTATAGGTTTATTATATCTGGTTAAACAAATTTTTTTATTTTTTTTTTTTGGGGGGGGGGGCGTGGAAGTTTTATTGTAATCCAAAGGGGGGCCCAAAAGAAAATCTTTGGGAACCACTGCCTTAACGAGGCAGATTTAGCTTCTGTCTGACTCAGCAGTGCCGCATATGTGCTTTATGGTCCTTTTCTTTTTGTCTAACAGGATTTCTAACAAGTCAAGATGTATGTTCACCTGCACAGCTCCCATCTTTTTATTAGAATTTCTTCTTCTGTGCTTCGTCTAATGTTGATGCAGGAAGATGCACAACAACAATAGAGGCTCCAGCGCATCCTCCGGCCCTCGCACACATGGGCGCCATTGTAGGGTAATCTGGCCCTGCCCAGATAAGTGGGTCAGCATTTGTGCAGGCTGCTGATGCTTTTGAATTCATAAATATGTGATTTATAATTTTTTTTATGTGTTCTGCTTTGCAGAGTTGATGTGTGGCTGTGTTATTGGCAGCTGATGTATGCGTGGGTGCGACTCATAAAAGCGTATATTTACTGTGAGGCGGTGAGGGTCCGCTGGGGAGCTGGGTGTGGTAGGAGTGGGGGGTTGCTAAGGAGTCGGCTGGTGGGCGGGAGCTTTTAGTCATTAGAAGTAGTGACACAATGAAAGTGACGGGGCAGAAGAAACTAATTGCACCCCTCTTGTCTTTAGTCATGTGGGACAGTTTTTAGGTCCCATTCCGTTTTTTGCATTTACGCAACAGTTCGATGCTCTTTCTCTCTCGCTTTTTTCTTAATACATTTCTCTCTGTGTTCCTTTTATCCATTTGTCCCGGGGTTGTTGATTTGGCTTAAAATAGAGCACTGCCTGACACAGGGCAGGGATGGATGGAGGGGGGGAGGTAGATGGATGGATATACAGTAAGTAGAGTGAAGAAGGGGCAGCGGCACATCGCTGGAGCTCAGAGTCCAGCCGTCATCCTCTCTCCTGTATCTGCTAAGGTGATTGATGGTAGAAGTAGATTGTTTTCCTAATTGATGCGGGGCCTTCTACTGTTAGCTCAGTGGCTGTTGGTTCGTCTAAAGGTAGGAAACTTGACACGTTTATTACCCCAAATGATATAATATTTCTTGTCTTTTTTTGTTGAAGGAAATCAGCAATGTTCTGAAAGGAGCACTGGAAAGACTGCACACAGACAGCCCCCCACCCAGGATGACAAACCAGGTTAACTTCAGGTGAGCGTTCATTTGTCTTGCTACAGAATCCACTATTTGGACGGCGTGATGGAGACAGACTAGGATTAGCCCTCCTGTCTTTGTTTGACAGCCCGACTCTCTGACTGGATTAAAACGTCTCATGGGTGACAGTCTAGTGTGTTGATGCTCCTCATTATGTTGCTGACGGTACAAAAGGGTTTATGAAGGCTCGAAAAGAAGCAATTGCAATGTACAATAGTAAACCCTTCATGATTTATGTTTTATTTAAAAGAAAGAGTTGGTGATAATGATCAGTATTTCAGTGTTTTCCTTACATATCAATGTATCAAGTATTCAGTGTTTGTGTTCATCCATTAGAAAAGGGAAATGCGTTCGTTTGAGCCTAAATTGGAATCACTTTGAAACCATGACAGTTTTTAAACCTTTAAACCACAACCCATCAACTGCTTCGTCCCTCTCCCTGCTAACAAGAACGGAAATCACCCTTTTGCACATCGTCTGCAGCCGAGCAGAGCGCCTCCCTTAAAAAGGTGCTCAGAGGAGGCTGGCTAAAGTGGCAGATGGTGATTTTTCAGTGTTTTACAGTACAGCGGTGTCCTGACAGCACCGTGATACAATAGAAGCACGGCTGTCAAAGCCAGTTTACCGTGGAAGCAGATGGCTGGCAGTTGAAGAAAGCACAGTAAGCGATCGGGGGACATTTTTTCTCTCTCCCAGGGTTCCTCAAGTTTGTCTGCTCGCTCAGCCTCCGCATATGTACAGGAAGTCGACCAAATATTGGGAGCTCCATCTGCCTCACCCCACTCCACTGTGGAGTGCCTGTGTTTGTTTGTGTTTGTGTCGGTGGGATGTTAAAATGGGCGAGCGGAGCTACTCTGCATATTAGAGTGCGGCGCTAACAAGCGACGGCTGCCTCTGATGAGCTTGTTTTTGCAGCGGTTTGTTTTTTTCTGTTTTGTTTTGAGCAGATGGAAATGGGATGAAGCTGCTTGTGTACATTTTATTCCATCACACACTTTCCAGTTAAATGAATTAATGTGATTCAGAAATAGTGATGTATCTGTATGTTATCCCATCATGGCCTGGTTGTTTATCACCTGTGGAAAAAGTTAATTCAAAACAGTTTTTTTTTCCTCCCAGATGTTGTAGCTCTAATGCTACCGTGTTCTCTAATGGATGGAAATGTGATGCATGTGTGTACATGCGACTTTTCAATTTAGAGGAATGTGACTGATGTTGTTTGTTAGCATGCAGTAGATGGTGCAGTAAGAATGCAAATGAGATGAGTGTGTATGGAGATGTGTGAGTACAGTATGTGTGTGACCCTGGCAGAGGTTAACGAGAGCTGGGAGACAGTGACAGAGGAGCGGCTTATAATGATCCCAGCCAGACCTTGGGCCTATGTACCAAACACATAAACCTTGAACTTCAATGGTTTTGTTCTCTGCGCTTCTCTGCGCTGTTCTCTGCGCTGTTTTCCTTTTGTTTGCATTGCAGCTTTAAGAAAAGTCTGTTGGAAATCTCCATGGGGAAAACACACTCCTCCATCTCCAACTGCGTCCTTTGAACTATTTTTATAGCTCTCTTTAGATTTAAGGAGATGGAAAATGTTCATCTTCATCAGACATGTTCACCCTCTGCAGGACAGATCTCAGTTCCCCTTTCCAACAAAAATCTGATCGCTTTTACAGTTGTTTAATATTAAAAACACGAAACCAATTAGATGTCTTGTTAGTGCGTGAGGAAATAGTGCTTTTACTAAAAGATATTGCAGGAAACAAGTTTGATAGTTTGCTTTTTATAAGACAATCGGTATGCATGGTAATCGGTATTTTGGCCTTTAATACCTGATGTGTATCTTTAGTAACGGAGATCTTAAAACTGAGTTTAGTGTTTTTTATGTTTATTTTGAAGAGGCAGGAAAATCGTAATGATGATAACTGATATTACCATTTTCAGCAGTAATATTGCAACAAAATCGGTTTTTAATATCATGCATCTCTAACTGTAGTATAGATTATTAGGCAAACTTTAAAAGAAAATATTCTTAGATGATGATTTCATTAATTAGGGGCTAAAATGCTCTTTTAAACTATTTAAATCTATTGCCCAACTATGTGAGAAAGACATAAATACTAGTTGTTAAAAAAACTATCAAAGCTTGTTCAACATAATTATGCTTAGTTCCACTTATAAGAACCCAAGAGAGCCAAAACTGACTCAATAAAACAGATACGTTAAATATTTATAAAGGGAACTCGTTTTAAATGTTGAAGTCCCTAAAAATGCACGTTTCCTGTTTTCTATCTGTCATTCTGATTCATGGAGTTAGCATTAAACAGATGCACTTTGTGTGCAATCCATACCAATCTGCCTCACATCTTCATATCTGTGATTATGCTTTTAGCCCTTTGCCAATGTGTGTAGAGAACCTGTAGATTACTGATTGAAAATAAGCTCTAAAAGGCTAAAACACAGAGGAAACGTCTATCTTCAAAAGACTTCCAGTTTATGCAGATCGAGCTTTATTGCTGCATTAGTTAGCAATCAGTGCGGGTTCCAAACTTGTTTTACTCAACAATAAAACTGGAAAAAAAAACTCTTTGAAACTGCAAAGTATCAACATAATGCCTATTTAACTGGATTCTAACATCCATTAGCCTCATTACCTTAATTATATTTCTCAATGAGAATAAATTATAAAGAGATTTAAACCAGCTTCCAAACTAATTGTATCTTTTTCCCTCCAAACATTAATATTAAAGAACAAACATTTGCTAAAGTTTCTGGTTTGTCTAAAACTTCCGTCACTAATGCGACTAAATGTACCTGATATATATTTCTCTTTAAGCCTTATATTGTAATTAGCTTCCACAGAAGAAGCAGCACAAGAATGAATGTATTAATAGATTTAATTAATCAATTCTCAGAAATAAATCTGAAGCTTTTTTTATTAAATCTTATTAACTTTCATAGAACGTCTTTATATCAGCACCTAGAAGGAAAAAAAAAGTCAGATTGAAGGGTTGATATAAAGGTTATTTAAATGTGCAATATGCAGTGTATAAAATGCAATAAAAGAACTGCAAATATTGATTTTTAGCGTATTAAAACAGAGCTTGATTTCAGCCTGCGCATGCCGATCTAATATTGCTTTATTGTTGACAGACAGGCTCTATAGGTGTCTATTCATAGATCAGACACAAGTGTTAGCATACCTCCCCACCCCACTATGAACAGCCATCATCTTCCTGCTGATCTCTCCTCCTATTGTCCTTGTTTATCTACTTCTAAAAGCAACAATTCAGGACTGAGCAGAGATTATTAGAGAAGGATATTCGGTTTAATCTCGATCTGCTTCTCTGTCCATCTCCTTTTTTATCTCCTGCTCCTTTCTTTTGTCCGGCAGCTAGATTGGGTAGTCGAGAAGCAGCCAGATAAGAGGTGAAGTAGCCAGCTGAGTCCTAGTCCCTCACACACACACACCGCCACACACACACACACACACAACATAACATTTGGCAGGGCTACCTGTAAGCTAATTTGTATCCCTATCTGTGTAGCCTGAAGGAAAATGCAAATCAGTTTTGAAGAGTTTGCAAAGGGCCGTGTGTGTTAAGGTTTGTCTGCAGCATATTGCCAGCTTTATGATTCACTCCCCCTTGTTCTTTTCTTGGCAGTACTCTCACAAAGACAGTGGAGTTCCCAGGTAATCGGGCCCCCCTGGGTATCCATGTGGTCCCCTACTGCTCCTCCCTCAGTGGAAGGTAAGCACGCAAAGACTGATTCATGTTGTGAAAGCCAGATTTGCAATATTTACATGACAAGAAGCAGAAAATGTGCATTTATTTGCATGCAGTCATGTATGTTTACCTCTAAAATCATATTTCCAGACCTCTAGGCCTCCACATCAAAGGCATCGAGGAAAACAGCCGCTCCAAGAGAGACAACCTCTTCAAAGAGGACGAATGCATCGTCCAAATCAACGACACGCCACTGCAGGACAAAACCTTTGCACAGTAAGCAACAAAAGGATGTGGATGATGCATAGGGGGATGTTTGATTATGTCTGAAAGCTAACTGATCTGAGGAGGCTTAGATCATAGACATGTAGCTTTTTAATTAGTTATAATGCTTTGAAAAATCAGCTGTAACACATTAAGGCCAGAAACTGTAGTTTTTGATGGAGGGATTTTATTTACGTTTTTTTGCTTTAAACAGTGATGGAGATAAACAATGCTGCTCTAAGATTTAAAAACGCGCATTCCTTTTTAAATTTGGATGTAAATGATAAATTGTTTTTACACATTGCAAAAATCTGAAACATATGCCAGGAATTTGTGTTGACTCTTAATGAGACAGTAGCAACATTCCAATTTCAGGTCTTTTTGGGACTTTCATGCATTTAGATGCTGTTTTTTTTCTGCCATTCCAGCTTTAAGCTCAGTCTATTTCAACATGTTTTTTTCGGTTCAATTTGTATGTTTTCTAAGCCATAACAAGGCTTTATGGGGCTACTCTATAAAACCTGGATCTCAACGCTAATCCAGACATTGTGAAATGCGAAAGCTTCCTGGATGGGAAGCCAAACATCTTCAGACTTGGAAAACAAGTCCAGTGGTTTTTTTTTTTTTTTACTTTTTTGGGTCAACCAAGATTGTTCCTGCACAGCATTGTTCCTGTCTAACAGTTGGATTTAGTTCTTGGCTTTGACTGGAACACATCGATTTCCTTTCCCTATTGCAGCTCCGGCTGTATCATAAGGTTTAAAGAATGAAAGGTGAACATAGTGAGTAAAATTAAAGCCTTTTTTTAATCCTTAGTAGCTTTTTTCCCAGAGTTGGCCTTTGTTTGGCACGGCGCTGCTTTAAACTTCTCCACAGTAAGCACTTCATTGTGCCTATTACATAAGATCCGAAAGAAATGCATGGAAGAATTTAATTGTTATATAACTAAATGTACAAATTCAGTGAATATGAATGCATTTTTCAAGGCAAAGCTGCTGGGATCTGTAGCTACATTTAGTTGCATGAAATATTAATTTCTGTATTCTTTTTTTGTAGAATTGGCTGCGTGTTAGTTTGGGGAATCACCTTGCATGATGTATAATGTATGTCTAATCAGAAGGGTTTGTTCAGTATCAGCAAGATGAAATCTATAAATAGATACAAACTCTTCCAGATGGGATCAAACTTATGAGCTAAGAAGCAAAAGATGAGTATGAGAAAGATAGAGAAGGCCAGGTGGAAGTTAGATGATAAAGAATATATAGCATGCGGTGGGGCCATATTACCCATAGTGAGTTCCAATATGTTGATCACTTTATATCTTCTATATAATGAGCAAACAAGAACTTGAAGGCAAACATGAATGATATAAACCCTGCTGCGCCATCTGCCCAAAGCCTGCTGGGTGCAAGTATGCTCCTGTTCCCCATCTCTCATCTGTTCCTTTCTTATCACAACGTTTTAATAAAAATCTCTAGTTTTTCTTTATTAAAGAAAATCTCTTTGTTTCTTTATTGTTGTTAATTAGATGGTAATAACATGAAAATTCAAATAAAAAAAAGCAGAAGCACATAGTTTTATTAACCTGGAAAAAAAGAAAAGAAAGTTTAAATAAGTTATTTATTAAATTTTCTACCTTTGATGATTTAAAAGATATGTCATTAAGAAGAAAAATCTGGTTCTTTCTATGCCAAACTTGGAACCACGGGCTGTTCATGGATGAGTGAGACGCTTTATAGGATCTTTATCTTGAAACTAATTAGTGCTTACAGCAGTTTATGGATGTTATAATGGAGTAAAAAAAAGCCTCAATTCTAAAAAGATGAATTCAGCTGATATTCTGTCTGGTTTCCATCCATTCATCATAGCAGAAATGCCAGCCTGGAATCAGGATCTAATATACAACTGAAATTCCTTAAAAATGGATGCATAGTGTTAAAATGATTAGGGATTTTCTGTAATCCAGACTGAGGAGTTAGTATTCATGAGGGCTTAAGTGGGTTTATACACCCAATTTATATTAGGTTAAAGGTCTTTTAGCAGGTTACACCTCAATCACACACTTTTTGTATCCATTAACAAGCTTCCTGCTGATTGGATACCTGCTTCACTAAACTGGCAAATTAATTTTATATCTTGGTTTCCTTGCAGTGAAGAAAATAAAAATTTGCCACAATGATGAGTTTAGAAGGATTAGATCAGAGACACTTTGACTCGGAGTGAAGCATGGTGGTTGTAGTGTCATGCTGTGGAGTTGGGTTTTAGGGTATTAGAGATGTCTTCAATTTATCCTCCAACCAGGTTCACCACTGCCTTATGAAAAGTTATTGATTATAGTTTGAATTTATCCAAATAAATCAAAAATCATGCTTACAGATGACTGGGAGTCCTACATGAAAGAGTTTGATTACTGAGGAATTATCATAGCAACGTATTTGACTGACACGTTGGAACTTTTCCTCTCAATAGGTCTCAGGAGGTGTTCCGTCAGGCCATGTCGTCTCCTTCTGTGCGTGTGGAGGTCCTCCCTGTTGGCAGCAAACCCCGCTACGAAAAGAGCCTGATCGGTCAGCTGTTCACTGGTGACGGCAAAGACTCCCCCGTTAACGCAAGGAGTCCGGTAGTCAATCGCGCTCCAGCCAAGGCTCTGCCGGAATTAAAACCAGCTCCAAAAGTGGAGCTGAAGCAGCCAGAGACACGCAGCAGGACCCCAGAGCCGGTTCTGCAGAATGCGCCACCGCTGCAGCCCCAGCCTAGCACTCTGGAGAGGGATTCGCCCACGCCTCCGGCTCAGACGGGGAACTCCTCCCCTACGCCAAGGACCGGCAGCCAGAGCCCGCTGGCTAACAAGAGTCCTACTGTTCCACCCCTTTCTAATCTGACTAACAAGAAAGGTGGCAAGAGGATAAAGATTGACCTGAGGAAAGGTACAACTAGTTTTGAATCCTCTCAGATATTAGCAACTAAAATGAGCATTTTAACATATAAACTAATCTGGACAATCTTCAGCTTTATTTAAAGGAATAGTTTGAAATTTGGTAGAAGATAACTATCCGATAAAAAGTTATATGAGCCAGTATTTGTATCAATATACTTTAAATATATTGTTACCATACTACTGGTAATGGGCGTCTTCCTTAAGTGGAAATCTGTCTTTCCTGTTCACAACAGAAATAAATGGCCGCTGCTGTGAAACTCAAACACCAGGAAACTCTGCAAACAGCGTCTCACTTTCCATGTTGCTTTGCTAGAGACTTTAAACCAAAGAAGTGTTGTGATAGAACATTTTAATGGTTTTGAAAGCCCTTAAAACCCTAATATACCTTGAGACCAGTAAGCGGGCCAAGCCTGCCTTTAAGTGATAAAACACTCCAAATCAAAAGGAGGCAGCTAATCTGACGTCGCAGGCTTCTTTTTATAAACTTAAATAGCCTCCCCTCTACAGTTGAAAAATGGGAACAATACAAAATGAACAGACTAAAGTAAATCTTTAGAAACTGCCTGCTTGTCTTTAGTAGACTCCATTCTGAATCAGAATGGGAAAGCTACTGTTATCTCTGATCCTTCAGCACTGGAGAGCTGATGTTTTGATAACGGACAGAGAGGTTCTAACAACTAGCAACAATCGTTGTTTTGCTGCAAAAAAAAGTAAAAATGAGGAAAAGATAATTGAAGAACATGCTCACATATGCTCACTACAGGTTTCTAGAGGGAAGCAGGTGAATAGAAGGTAGAAATTGGGCTCCACACGCTCCAGCTTCAGCTGAAAGCTCTATTTACAGCTGCTTCATTGTTAGCTTCTTTGACTCAATTCTATTTCTTCCCTCTTTTCCTTTCACCTGTCCTTTGTTTGATTTGTTTTTGCTCTCCCTTGTCTCCTTCTATCCCTTTCAACTGATGCAAGATCAGAGCAGGGGATATTATTTGGTTTCTAACCCCCTCTCCCTCGGCGACGAGGTCTTTCTCTCGGTGATTGGCAGGCGGGGAGGTTTTAGGTGCGCTAATGTAGGGCAGGCAGAGGCTTAGCTCAGAGAGCAGATAGCATCGCTCAGCGTCTTTAGTATGCTGCGGCGGCTTTGCTTTCCACACACACACAACCTGATGCGGAGCGTGGCACATTTCACTCATGGCTTGGGGCTTGTGGGGCCGTGAAGAAGCGAGAGGGTGGTGGGATGCTTTGGTGTGTGTGTGGGCTCTCACACATGGAAGTTGACACAAACTCTGAAAATCTTTGTCCAAATCACATCCCAGAAGATGGAAGTCAGAAGGGATCTTGTGTCCCCTCTCCTTTCTTCCATCTCCTCCCCCATACCTCCCTTCATCAGCCACCGATCGGCCTGCTCACACGTGAAATTAAAGGCAGAGGCTGTCTAATCCAGCTAAGAGAGAAGCCTTCTCCCAGCGGCTCCACGGCTGAGTCAGGCAGCTAACCCCCTTAGGGAAACAGGCTCTTAAAAATAGCCAATGTGGATGACAATGCTAAAATCAAAGGCTGTGTTCAGTGGGAAAAAAAAGGAGAAGATGAAAGGGAAGAAAAGGAAAATTTAATTAAGACTGAATTAAAAAGCCTTTAAATTCGTAATTAGGTATCTTATTTTAAGGACGTAAATTACCCAGAAGCACACTGTGACTCAGGCTGCTTTATTCCCCACCAGGCACTGAGGGTCTGGGCTTCACTGTGGTCACCAGGGACTCGTCCGTCCACGGGCCAGGCCCCATTCTGGTTAAAAACATCCTGCAGCGAGGGGCGGCAGTGAAGGACGGCCGCCTGCAGCCTGGGGACCGCATCCTGGAGGTAAAGCACACATTGGACATCAGCTTTTTGTCGAGAAGAGTGAGAAATCACAAGTGACAAAAGTAGCCACACATGATCGCTCCAGTGCCCCCCTGCTGGATGAAAAGCGTAACTGCATTCTCTAAAGTTGACTTATTTAAAGCCCGGATTAAAAGCATTATTTACATCTGGAAGAGTTACTATTTTTTCTTTTAATTTTTTATATATATAAAAAAGAAATGGAGTTGCTTATATATTGGTGACTCTGATTGAAAGAAATTTAAGTTATTCAAGTTTAGCTGTGTTTTCTCGTTCACTCAATGTTTGATTCTTCCTCCTCTTAATCCCAAGAGTCCGATCGTTAACTAATACAAATTTTTGCATCTAAAGTTATTTCCCTACATCCATTCGACATTTGTGTTACTAAACTTTATTTAAACAGAAAACAGCCCTTTGATAAAACACCATCCCCCATTTCTGAGCTCAAATTTTGAAATTTGATGCTAATAAAACATAAATGAATCCTATGAAAATGAGGTATGTTATATTTATATTCACCTATTCAGGTGTGAAATGTGATATTTGTTCACGCTGGGCTTGTATAGGTGAATGGAGTGGACATGACCGGTCGTACCCAGGAGGAACTGGTGGCCATGTTGCGCAGCACCAAGCAGGGAGAGACGGTGTCTGTGCTGGTGTCCCGGCAGGAGGACATCTTCCTGCCAAGAGAGCTGGTAATGGAGAGTGAAAACAACATCCATGTCCTCACACACGCCTGCTGTAGCTTTAATCTGCTCCTTTTACCCATCATGCAGCATCTTTGGATCTGCTTCACGCTTCCTCTCTTTTTGTTCCTCATTTTCATCTGCCTGTTTTGTGTTGTTTTTTTTCCCACCCACTTCCTTCACATTGTGTCTTTTCCTTTATTTTCTCCCAAAGGAATAAAACCTCTTTGTACCCCTTTTCTGCACCATACATGGACACACATTCTAATGCATTCAAAGCCACCCAGGGGCACGCTCCTGCTTTCCTGTCCCCCTCTGGATTGTTGACACAGCGATGGCACAGGAAGTCACGCGCGGCCGGCACAGCAGGTCTGCAGGAAACTTGGGAGCATGCCCTTGCCTTTTGGCATGTTAACTGACAGCTTACCTGCTGCGGATGAAAGTGTCTAAGGTCAGCTTCAGGCTGCAAAATCTAACATAATTCCCCGCCCCCTCACAGGGGACATTTAATCAATAATCATGCTTCTAAACATATATACACACAGCCAGTTGGCCCCCTTGAAGCCGCGCCATAAATGATGTTTTCACTCGCTCTCGGTCGTCTGTCCTCTGTGGCTATCCTGAACACTTCAAAGCACTCGGAGTGGAGACTTTGTAGTGAGTGATGCATATTCACACCTACACAGGCACACACAAACTCTGAGTCCTTGATAAAAACTTGAACACAAGTGCTCTCTCTAGCTGACACACATGCATGCACAGATGAAAACACCGCACGCCTTTAAACAGCTAAGTTACTGCTTCCCAAAATAGTTTGCCCTCATTAATGGCCCGGCAGTCTTGGCATAACAAGTGCCCTTTGAAGAGCCTCAATCTAACACTTGCTTGTATTTGTGCATAAGAGAGAGAGATTTAAAGAGGAGGGAAGTAGAATAGGAAATAGCTGAAGCTGCTCGTGCCCTATGAGATCTACTCTTTATCTTCAGCATGGTTAGACTAGAGATGCTAGAATGGCCCTTAAGCAGAAACTGAACAAACTAAAAGATGTGGGAAATAATCACATGCAAACAAAAAAACACACAAAAAAAGTCCTAGCTTAAAAGATACATTGGACAGTTTTTCCCCTTTTTAAAATCTGCACATTATTCACAGCTAAGACCAAAATCGTTAAAGCGTACTCAACCAGAAGGCAGCGGAAAACAACTAATGTTATGCTACGTTCACAACTGACACGGTTTGAGCAGCAAAAAAAAAAGTTTGCTGCTTCATTTTTTTAACCGTGTACATATTAAGGTCAGATGCTCGTCAAGAGCATCTGTAATGCTCCTGAAGCTCGTCCAGTAAAGTGTTTCCGGATGGGTCTGACGCTAAGTAGGAAAGTCCACCTCAAAACATCGCCTGTGCAGTCAGTTCATCAAGATTACCATTCTGCCTTAAAATATTATATTGCTGTCTCACATCCTCGCATACCGGCTGTCACTGGGAATCCCCAGCAGCAGCTGGAGTTTTTCTCCACTCTACGCTGTTGCCTGGACGTAGGTGTTAGCATTCTTAAGGTATGTGGTACAAACAGCAGGCACCAGAATAATAATAGCGAACAAAGTTTTCAAGGTTCGAAATTTTAAGTTAATTTAGGAAGATGGCACAAAATCGTCTAAATTTACTACATTTTGGAACAGACAGATTAAACCTCGAGCTCCCCAAAAATATGTTTGTTTTTGTATTTGCTATGCTCACCAGGTTTCTATGCTATCTTGGAGCTAAGGAGGACTGATGTTCTGTTGGGTTAACATTTCTGGAATTATCTGTAAACAAAGTTTAAATGAAAAATATTCTGGTATCAATTGTTAAGGATGCCATGTCCAGGACCATTTAGAAGACTACCAGGCCCACAGCATCACAGATCTCCTAACATACTTAATGAGGTTGCACAAGGTGATTTTTATTTATTTTTAACTTTTTGCCCTGTTTCTTTTTACCTATCTTCTCTAATCTCTTTTGCCTACAACAATGGTTCCAATTTAAGTCCCGATAGAGTTAACTAATCTCTCCAGCTTTGTTATGATAAGACTTTCTTCCTTAGATATGTCTGGAACAACTGGTTTTCATTCAGATGGCGTCTAATGGTTGTGATGCAGATTAGGTGACCCCAAAAGAAACTCTAATGGCGGACTCTTGAGATACTTTTACTTCTCTTTCCATCTTGCTCTCATTACCCAGAACCCAGATAAATATTCGGCCTGCTGGCCTGCAGCTAACAGAAATGGTCTAGTCATGTTATACCCTTGGGACACAAAGTGCTGGATTATTAATGAGAAGTTCCTGGAAATCTGGTTGATCTACAAATTAAAGCAGAAATGGCAAAAAAAAAAGCTTTGGTTCTAACAGTTATTTGGTTTGAAACAAATTCTCCTATTTATGTTCTTCCCCTTATAAAGAAATCTATTCAATAAAGATTATTAAAGAAAAAATGTGACTTAATAGTACTGCTGGGGCAGATTTTAAATGCTTTTTACATCCTTAAAATATTGCACACCAAATTTTGTTGGCATCTTTACAGTTTTTGACATCCAGGAATGTTTAAAGCTGCAACATCAAGCCAAATGTATTCAAAACGGCGGCCGTGTTTGTTTAAGTAAATCAAGCAAATCAGCTCATTATTGCAGGTTAACATGAAGTAACTGTTGAGATTAATGGCTCTCGAACAACGATCCGTTTTCCTTGGCTAACTTTACCATCAGTGCCCCAAATAACAAATGTACATCCTGAGCTAATGGCATCAATCAAGGTCTAATTTTCTCTGCTGTGGGATCATGTTTTTTCTGTTGTTTCCAAAGTAAATAATACCAGATAAAAACAGAAATGAATTCAAGATATGAACAATGTTGAAGAAACTGACAATAACCTTTTTGCCATGAATTTGGGTTGAGTTTTTTTTTTATTTGAGTTGTTTTATAAAATAATTCAAATGTTACATTACAAACTATCATATATATGTATATACAGATAGTTAGAATATCAATTCTTTTGTTCGGTAACAGAAGTATAAGTATTTAGAGATGCACGATCCAATTTTTTTACCATTCTATATCAATACCTGGGCTGATATTATCGACTGATATCTGATACGATCCGATATTTTGCTATGAGTGAAAGTTTTAACCTTGATATAAACGTTGTTAAAAAAAGGTAACAAATTAACAGTTTTAGACGTACTTTGTTGTATGTATTATCAAATAACCAGCAAAAAGAAAGAAATTATATTTCCATGTGAAGTGCACTGGGTTGGATCTCCAATATCAAATCACTGATATCTGATCCTAATTATTTAATAATGCTGCCAATATTGCATGCAGGTATCAGATTGGTGCATCTCCAATGGTGTTAAAACTTCTAAAAATCAGTGCTGTAAAAAAATTGAAGCATTAAATATCTTTAGACATGTTTATATAGCGCTTTCTATAGAATAAGCATAACTGACTCTTTTATTTTTACATTTTTACCATACTATATTTATGGAACACTTTAATTTGTAATCCTTTGATTCTTGTTTCACTGGGATATAATGATGGTATGATGAATTTTCTTTCCATCTCTTTAAAATAGGAAACAAGAAATACATGTGTTTAATGTTGATTAGTCACTAGCTTAAACCTTACATCTATTCTGTTAGAGGTAGGTTGTAAATGTTTGTAAGAATTCAAAACAAAACTACCAAAGCTGATTTAAATAATGTTAAATTATTATTTACCTGCTTGATTTAAGCAGGTAAATAAGATGACTTGCCAATTAAATGATTTTTTTTCTTAAAATAACCTAAGCTATTATGCACTTTAATGGAATAATTTTTCCTTATTTGAAATATAAATCATCTTCCATTGGCAACAGCTCAAATCAAGGGAAAATACACTTATTTTAAGAAAATACAATGCAATGAACTCTTGATGAAGACCAATGTTTATCTGTACAGAAAAGGGGGAGAATAAAGCTTGTTGATATGTCTGTTTGTTGTATTGACACCGTTGGACCTTTTTAAAGTGCTCCACATCATTTTGATTATAAAATAAAATGTAAAAATTAATACTAGCAGTGGTACCAAAGAGGACGTTATTACCTATTTTTTTTTTTGTTTCTAGTCTCTTATTTTCTTTTCCTTCATTTTAATTTCCCCACCCTGATTAGGAGTGTTACTATAAATTGTGATAGTGGCTGTATTTTTCATTGAAGGTCCATTTAAAGGAATTTTACAGTATTATTAATATGAATTATTACTGATAATGCTCACAGTATTTAGATCAATACATTTTCTAAGCTAATTTGGATTCTTAGGTTTTTGGATAAAAAACAAAACATGGCTGCTCAAATTTTTCCATTTTTTCTGAAAGGTTAATGCCAAATTTTGTTGTAGTTTATTCAAAAGCCGCCAAGATATTTCACTAAAGACAAAGGTGGTTGCATCAGGGATGACCAGGAGACCTTCATATCATCCCTCAGAGGAATCTGAGGGTGCGCACAATTTCATGGCAAACTATAAAAGTGTTTATTGGAACATTTTCGCCTGACATTTCCATCTGCAGAGCTCTGCAGCAGTTGTGACTAACAGGCATTGGTTGTGGGGTTACAGCGTTGCCTTAAAATGGATGAGAGGCATGCTCAGCTGTTTGAAAACACCATAAAGGTGGTCAGTGATCAGAGTGTTAGTCATTCAAGTGTAAAGATGTTTCCATTTGCATCGCCATAGTCTTTTCAGATAAAGTCGTTTTTAGGGGAACCAGCTGAACTTTTGATTAGTTTTAGTGGAGGAAATATTGATGTTTCCTAAGCAGCTGGTATCTGAAAGCTCTCCGCTGTGCCACTCTCCTTTAGTCAAAAGAATAACAATAGATCCAGAGAATTAGCCTCATTTTGAGAATACAAAAGGCAGTCATTTTCCACCGCATCCCTTCTAGTTGCTCTCACCGTCTAAGTAATTAAAAACTGATAAGTTCTAATCAGTTTCATTCCTGTCAGCACTTCTGCATCTCCTCCACTCGCTGCTCTCATTAAACGCAGACTCTTTTGTTTCAGGTTTTATTCCTGTTGTCTGTTGGGGTAATGGAGGGGTTTGTGAGAGGGGAAAGTGCGCGAATGCGACAGGATGGTGGGGTCATCGCGCACATGGTTGACCCGCCAATGCCAGCAGGAACGGGTCGTCTCACAGGAAGGGAGGATTCCCCTTTCATGCTCTTTTTTTTTATTATTTACCCACTGCTTGTTTTATCCTTTATCATTCATCCTGTCCCTCATTCTTCAAGTTGAGTCTTTTTCTTTTTTCTGTTTTTCCCTCCCTAGGGCATTGCTTCACTTCCCACCTGAATTATCGTTTAATCGGTCGTTCTATTGTCATTCCTCATCATCCTGAGGTAAAGGTGTAAAGCTGCGCAGAGGGAAGACATTAATGCGATTAATTGGCAGCTCCGTCGTAGCCGTCAAGCGCGGAGAGATCTCATCTTAATTGAATGTCGCTCTCACCGCTAATCCTCCGTGCTTTGAAAGCCCACATTTAGAAATCCTTGCAGACAAAAGCCTCTGTGTGTAATCGCTGTGTGTGAACCCCCCCCCCCCCCCCCCCCATCACCCACCCTGAGGTCTTCTCATTTGGGTGTTGAAGAGGGTGGTCTCCTCTTCTTACTAAAGGCTTGTTAAAGAGCCATAGCTGAAGGCTAATGATAAAACGAGGAGGGGTCTGGGCCACCCAATCTCCCCCCCCAAGGAAAGTGGCATTAGTAGTTATGTAAACCGTTATTGTGTGTCTGGGAGCCACTTGGTTGTGTAAATAGATGTAAATCAGTAGTTAAATCCAACATATAAGAAGGTTCCAAGGCTTTTTTTCGATCCAGTTTGACCCTTTTTACCTCTAGTGTTTGTAGAGTATTTAAAATCTCCCACCCGGATCCTCTAAAGTGTCTTTCAAACAGGGAGGTGAAGATTGTCTTTTTGAAACGATGTCACCCTGAAATTGCTTGTTGGTGAAAATAAGCTTTGATTGAAAATCTATAATTAGACCAGAGCAGAAAATAGATCCTGAGACTTTGCAGGAACAAATCTTCTATTGGAAATGTGTCGAACAGGTAATAATCTACAGGAAAGTCTGAGATGATTTTACCTTCAAAACTTTATTTGCTAACTTTAAGGACCAGTCTTTAAATGCAGAGATTTCTGATGTCTATAGAGTTGGAAACCTTTGAGAAACTCCACCCATCTGTATATAGTATCCAGCTATTCATGTAGCTCAGTAGGTCTAATTCGAAATATCTACTTTCTGTAGATGTTTTAAAAAGAAAATAAAGTATTTTTGTCTGATTGAGACTCTTTAGAGTCTCCACATATCTTAGATGACTGTCTGCAGAGAGCAGCATGTCTTTATCCCATCTCTACGGTTTCATTTCACAGTCCTTCTCTGGCTCTTGCACCAAAGAATGTTACTGCTTGACAAAAAAGTACAGTCTATCAGCCTACAATTAATAAGCACCCACTTGTAAAGAAGTGAAAGCAGTGACTAAATGGATCAGTGTGTCACAGCCTCTCAGGATTTTTCTTTCGCTCCATTACCTTTAGTGACTTGAGAGCTCTGATTCACACTTTAGGGCTGAGTATCCCTCTCAGCCTGAAGGCTTCGACAACCTGTTGTTTTAATTAAGCCACAGCAGTACAGGACTACATCTGACAGGAAAAGAGGCCATGAGATGATAGCAAATAGAGAGGGAGCTGGTGTAGTTGTGAATTTAGCAAAGAAATCATCCAAGAGGACGTGTTTGTCCTTCGGCTTTGTGAGCGCTGGGATCAAGGTGTCTGATGTAAGGCTTCAGCAATCCTGTCAGGGGGGCGCTTAGACGTGCGACAAGTGGTAAGGCTGCTTTCATGGATATTTGTATATATTCCTACAAAATTCATTTAGATGTAAGACGAGTGGGATTGGAGAGAAATGCAACACATGCAAAATCTTCCTCACCTTCTCGTCGTTGAGGTGAACCCCCTCTTTTCCAAGGAGGCCAAATTGTGCATTAGCATCCTTTAATGATGGACATTTTACTTTTCTCTCTTTTCCCCTTCCCCGCCTCTCATTTCCAGAGCACCGCCGCCCGCCATGGTCATTTTCTTCCCATCAAGTAGCAGTGGATGAGAGGGGTGGGCGGGTGAAAGATGTGAGAGGAAAAAAAAGAGCTCTAGGTAGTAGAGTCAGGTGGAGACGGAGAGATTTGTATGAAATGCAAAGAGTAAGGGGGGGAGAAGAAATGGGTTTACCTCAGGAATGGGTTATTACTTTTAAATGCTCCTCCACGCCACCGTCCTCCCCTCCTCCTCTTTCTTTCCACCTCCTTCTTCCCCCCACTGTGCTTCAGGAGGAGGTTTGAAAAGGTTATTATGTTTCCTTTAGAAATGACTCTCTCTCCGTCTGCTTTTCATCTCTAAATGGAATAACCTCTCTACAGTAGCTAGCTTTCTTTCTTCCACCCCGCAGCCACCTTCTATCTGACTATTTAATCCGTCTCTTTCCTTGGTGTTTTCTGGCTTCCTGTGTTAAATATAATCAATGTAATGTTGGCAGACACCTTATCAGCTGCATATGGTGCTCCCACATCAGTAATCAGCTATCATTCACAGGGGTTACGATGTTAAGCTGGCTTTATGTGTATTTATTATCAAGCTTTGCCTTTTTCAGATCAGTACCTTATCTACAACTGTTCTTTTTTTTTTTTGGATCATATGTATTTTTAGAAAGGGGAGGAAGCGAGCAGTAAGGTGATGGAGGACGGAAGGGAGCAGCTGATGTACGAGATCCCGCTCAACGAGACGGGCTCAGCAGGCCTGGGCGTCAGCCTGAAAGGAAACCGGTCGAAGGAGACTGGAGAGGATCTGGGAATCTTCATCAAGTCCATCATCCATGGAGGAGCTGCCTATAAGGTGAGCGACGCAGCAGCTGGAAAACGGACAAAGCCAAGAAACTTACTAGACCAAACTATGGTTATAATAAAAAACACAACTGATGATCAAAGCAGAAGAGCACCTCAAACTGTGCCTCAAAAAAGCTAACTTACCTGTTATTTTTACCATTGTAACACACTGATTCAAAGATTATTTGAAACAAGACATCCTTAACTCCCCCAAAAAAGATCAGAGAACATGCTCTATTACCTCTGTAAGAATTCTAAAAAACTACAAACAAACCAATGGACTTTGTTTTCCAAGTTTTAAGACATTTCACTTCCCATCCTGGAAGTTTTTTCAATTCAAAATGTCTGGATTAGCGTTAAGTTCCAAGCTTTGTAGAATAGCCCAAAAAAAGCCTTGTTATGGCTTAGAAACATGCAAATTGAACCAGAAGAACATGTCCGCCCTTTGGTAATGGGTAGTCGTTTAGGTCTTTGTTAGCCTGCAATACCTGATACTGGGCTATACCTCTGAAACAACCCTAACGACCTCCTATTATGTACTCAGTGTCCAAACCTTTAAATGAAAGCTTAAAGCCCCTTTAACTGCAACCTTGTTTAATTGTGAGATTTATATTGATGAAATCCTATTTTAGATGGACCTGTTTGTATTTAGTTTAATTTTATCTCAGTGCAAAGTAGCAAATCATTTCAAAGTGGAGGTAATTAGCGGCATGTTTTTTTAAAGATGTGTAAAAAAAATAGTTTTTCTTAAACCTGTGTTTTTCAAAGCACATCCTCCAACAGTACAAACATCCCCTAAAAAGGTTCGGTAAACATTTGTTATAACAATTAACAACAGAACCAGATATGCTTGAATCAACAGCATGATCCAAATCTTTAATTTCCATGTCCCCCCCTGGTAGCTCAGATATCATCGTCTCCTGCATCAAAGGGATGCTGAGAACGGATTAAAGTAAGCTGCCATTCAGATGTGTAAAACCATTGGACAGAAGAGGAAAAACACACAATTTTATATATTATTTATTTCAATAATTAAAATCTAAGCATTGATTGTTTCTAATCTTCCTCCCTTCAGATGTCTCTTCCCCCTCTTTCCTTTGCCTTCTGTTTGTCCTCTCATCTCCCCCGACTCGTTTCCTGCCTTTCTGGCTTTATATCCCTCCTCCCTTTTTGCTTCCCTTGATCTTTGACACCCATTGACCTCGAGTGGCCTCGTCACACAAGCACCGCAGCCGCCTTATCTCGATCAGTCAGCACTCACTCCAAGTTCTGAGTGCATCAGGAAAAAACATCCCATTTCAGCACTTTTGAGATTCCTCCACTTGGCCTCGATATCTGCTACCCCCTCCTGTACGCGTCAAAACTTCTCCGCCGCTCCTAGATCTGCTCTGAGCGACAAGAGGGAACAGAGACGGGTGTGCTGTTGGAGATAAACGGCTGGTCTGGGATCAGTACGGCCAGAGCTCCCAAAAGCTCCCTTAGAAGTAGTTTTCCGACAGCTGCAGAGGCGGATAGCGTTCAGACAGAATGGCCTAGTAAAGATCTCCGGCTGGCTGCGAAACAGGTCTCTGAGACGAGACACCACATGAGAGGAGACACGAAGGAGAAGAGACAGGAGAAAACGGAGACAGCGGAAGGATGAGAGGGAAGAAAGGAGCATCATTGAGCTATAAAGAGAAAAGTGGAGAGTCTCACTAGGAACACAATATGTTTAAATATGTGTGCATCACATTCGCCGCGTTGATGGATGCAAATGAGAACCAGCGAAGGACTGTGATGAATCTTTGCAGCTCCGTGCCGCCACTGAGGAGGGGAAAGGATCTCCCTCGAGTCTGACTGACACACAATCACAGTATGAGAGGGGAAACAGGGCGGCGATGAAGAGGAGTCATGGAGAGATCTAACCTATTTCCATTGTGGAAGTTTTTGGGGCTGTTAGGCCCGAGGCTTAAGTTTGATTAACTTTCCTCCTGATCATCATCACATCATGATGGGGAAACAAACCAAACTCACATTCATCGACCAAGAAACCTGCTGGAGTTGAATTTTGATGACAGCTATAAACCTGTTTGTGTGTGTTCTGCTCGGTGCCATCCCAGTATAGATTTAAGGTCAGCCAAGGCGGTGCCTTGTTAATGAGAACGGTCAAAGGTCAGCTCTGACCATAATGGGGCGTTCATGACTCCACACACACTCACTTCAGTCTGTCTTGGAGCCTCTTCATCATTATTATTCCTGTTTTTTTCCTTCCCCTCCTGCCTGGCTCTCTTCATTTGTTGCCCTCCTTCTATCCCTTCCTCTCTCTGTCCCTGCAGGGCAGTACTCTGCGTTGCTTCTCTACAAAAGGCTGCTATTTAAAACACTTAGAAGTGATTTAGTGCCCACAGAGGCTATTCCATTAGCTGCTCTATGTATTTATCATGGCTCTCCCACTCTCAGTAGATTGCTAACTCCACAATTTTCTTGCCTTCTCCAACCCTTCTTTCATTTTCTTCTCTCTTTCTCTCTCTTACACACTCAGACACACACCCACACACTTATTTTGTTCTCTTATTTTTTGTGTCTTTTCCTTCTTTTAAAACTTAATCAAATCCCTGTCCTGTTTCTCTTACTTAATGTCCTGAGATACATCTATACTTTTTCTCCAATCGAGCAGTTTTTATTCTGCAGATATTGGCATAAAGTGAATGCATACCTCTCTATTTGGATTTTTCTTTTTATAATAAGAAAAGGTAGAGGTTTTGCATGCATTTTTTTTTTATTTCCATGAGTCAATGCATTAAGATAAACACCTTTCACTGTCATTCCAGCTGCAGGTCTTTTGTCTTATATAGGCCATATCTATATCAGCTTTGCACATCTAGAAACAACATCTATTCTGTTGCATTTTTGCAGACGGCTTGAGTTCAGTCAAACTGGACTAGGCGCATCTGTCAACATTAAGTGCAAGTCACCGCTTCTCTCTGATTTAGCTACAGATTTTCTTTGGAATTATTGTAAGAAATAAAGATGCTTGGATCAAAACTCTTCCTTTGTAACAATGGCTGTTTGTCGAAGAGTCATCACTCTATACCAGTTGAACCCTTTTCAACTCTTTTGCAGCTGGTGACTTACGTTTTTTGCTAAATTAAAAACATCCCAACAGCAGGATGCTTCCACCACCCTGTTTCACTATTTAGATGGTGTCAAGTTGTGTAGTTTTGGGAAATATTTCGCATTTAGGTCATAACTGAACAGAGAAGCAACAAACTGAGGCCTAATTGGACGATGCTGCAGGCTCAGGTTGGAGTCCCGCCCCCACTTTGATCGTTTGCCCAATGTCCTGTTAGTCCAATTTTAGAATAACGACATCTGCTGATAAAATGACTGACTGTACACATTTACTTGCTGACAAACATGAATTTTATGTATTATGGTGGGTGTTGCAGCTGATTATGTTTAGTAGTGTTAAAGCAAAGGCGACTGAATGCAAATGTTCACCAATTTTCTTTCTTTTTTAATAAAAAGGTGAAATGACTCCCTTCCAGTTAACACGATTGCACTACTTTGTGCAGGGTTAGGGGTATCGCATACAATCCCAATAAAATGCAATCAGTTGGCGCCACCTTTGCTGTGTGGCGTAAAAAAATAACAGCTACTGTTTAAAAAAAAATAAATAAATAAAAAATTCTCTTTCAGATAAAATAATAAAAAAAAACCCTGAAGACAACAGTAGTCTTGTTTTAAAAAAATTTTCTTTTCACAACAGGACGGTCGGTTGAGGATAAACGACCAGCTAATCGCCGTTAACGGTGAGTCGCTGTTAGGCCGCTCCAACCACGCTGCCATGGAGACGCTGAGGCGGTCCATGTCATCAGAAGGGAACATGCGAGGAACCATCCAGCTTGTGGTCCTGCGGGCTTCCAAACAGGTATCTCTTAAACAACTTTTTTTATCCAATATTCCTACTTAGCTATAAACATGAATGGAAATAAATCAGTGTTGTAGTTCTATAAATCAACCTTAAAGTTATTGCTGCAATAGAGGCACAGATTTTTTTTAATTCAGAAAATAACTGTGCTCCATGCAAAACTTTTAAATATCACAATATAATGGCTGAATATATTGCTCTCATTCCTCTCTGTAAATGTGGGGTGTCAGCTTAAAGTTCCAATTCCCTCTCTTCTTACTTTTCATCTGAGAAGTTTTATTACATAAAACATTCATCATTGCTCATGCATTATGAAACTCACAGCTGCGTCTGTTCAAAGACTTCATATTATAAGTAAATACAGCCGTTTAAGCTGGGAAATTTGCAATATTTATAATTCAGCTTGGAATTATATCTCCCTGTTGTGATCATTTTAACTTAAAGTAACCATAGCCTAGATATTACAATTCAATTTAAAAAGAATTGATTAATCCTAAAGTGAAATGAAATCATTGCCTGTTTTTCAGCAAGTTGTTGCAGATATTGATAGCCTTAGAACCACCTGGCTGAATGTTGGAGGGAAATTTATTTCACAACTATGAGCAAAGCGAATTGTTTGAAATCTTTCCTTTCTTGAAAAGTACAATGCATCTCAGTATCTGCTAGAAATGCTAATGCTGTTTCCTCTAATATAAACAATTCTGAGTAAACAACTTGGTGACAATGATGGAAGGGTAGGCAGAAATTTATACATTTCAATAGATTCATTTTATTCATATATATTGATAAAAGCTTTCAGCTAATAAGGACCCTTAATTCAGGTTCTTAGTGTTTAGAATATTTCTTTTCCAGGTGTATTACTATTAAATCTGGCTGTCCATGGCTTTGACCAATAAAATGATTTGAAACTTTAACCTAGACACATTTTCTCTGCCTTCACTCAGCCCAGCTCTACTCCACCTTAAACGTACAAACATTTCCCTTACTTCCTTGTTTGGGCCCTGCTTAGGATTAGAGACGATCAGAGATGAGTCCTGCTGATGGAGCAAAAATAATCAAGTTTAGTGGGAAAAAAACTAACTTTTATATAAGCTAACTTCATTAAATGGGAGGCTTTGATTTAAACCTTTTGAATAGTCGGACATCTAAATAATTTCTTTTGTTAGATTTCTATTGGATGTCGCTGTTTTGTCATCTTTCAGATTTCATTGAAAGATGAGTAAACTTTAAAGTTTTTTAGTGCTGCCATCTAAGCTAGAACACAACTAGAAGTTATATGTCAAGTTTCAGTGGTTCCTCTTAATTAGAAAAGTATTAGAAAAGTATAAAAAATCTCAGACTGACTAAAAGGTAATGAAATACTAAGATTGGGGTTCTTAGAAATCTACCGTTTTATCTGGGGTGTCTTAACTTCATCTAAACGGTACAGGTTCTGAAGTGGGTTCTGATCAGTCCAGTCAAACACAGCGATGCCATTAGTATTACAGTAGTATTACAGGCATTGGTACATGGCAGAGCATCTCTTTTAGCTTGGTGTTCTGAAATTGCCTAAACTTTGAACTTAAACACCAACAGATGAATGCTATGCCAGTTCATCACTGGCTGTTGAAACAAACTTAACACTGAACACATATACTGCAGATACTTTGATTTCCCCTTTTTCACGTTAAATTTACTTGCAACAGCACTATTATCAATTAATATATGTTCTTCTGCTTAATTTTCAATGAATTTTCTTGGGTAAGGCACCCTGAAACTGCTGGCCTCTTTTTAAAATCAGTAAAGTTTCATTGCTTAGCCTCATAATTAAGGCTTCCAATGAATGTTAGACCAAAGTTTTTGATTTAAATCGCTCTTTTTCGACTCTAACCTAAACTTCCTGTTGATGATCCAATCCTTTTAGAAGGTTATTTACAATCTTTATCTTCTTTCAGGCAGGTGGCGGCAACTCTGCACCAAGAGCAACCACCAGCTCCAACTATCAACCCAATGTTAAACTTGGCTCCAGCAATCAGGTACAGGTGGGTGACGTCTGCCAGCTGCAGCCAGTTGTTCCGCACCGCGCCTCCTCCCTTCTCCTCACATTAAGGAGGCGAGCGTCTGAGCCGCTGTCTCACAGCCACAGGCAGCGCTGCAGACAGAGGCCGGGGGAGACGCACACCAGATACACTTACGGGTTCAAACACAAGCACACGTGTCAGGGTTTCAGCGATGACGGGAGCAATGCGCGACACGCTGTGCAGAGATCTCACAAGATGAATGAGTTTGGGTTTGTCTCAAACTGCCAATCCCCAGATGACTCTAAAAGGCCTAAGGATGGTAACGTAAACAGGGAAAGGCATGAAACTGAACATACTCGCTACCATATGTTTGCAGACACTTATCAGGGTCGCGCCAGACTTGAAAACACGCATGGTCGCCCCGCTGACGACTACGAGGGAAACATGCAGCATTACACACACAAGTCCAGAAACAGACGCAGTCGTACACTGGACGACATCCAGAGCAGCAGTTACATAGAAAACATCCGAGCCATGGCGGGGCAGATGTATGGGGACCCGCCGTCACGCAGCAGGATACCCACCACCAGAAACACATACCTTCATAACTATGCCCATAACCGTGTTACGACCAGACGACACATGCAGCTCTCTAATGGACCCTGACACACATTCTGAAATAAAAGCCTCAGTGGCAACATCCAGTTACATTACTTTCTACATCTAAAACTCAGGAATAGCATGAATGTAAGTTTTTTATATTTTTTAAAGTAATCGATCATGTGATCTCTTTGCCAGCTCCACTTTTACAGTTTAGCTTTGCTTTCTGAAAAATAATGGGTCTACTTCTGTTTTCTGTCTTATTGCTTTAAATATAACACTCTACTGGGTTTTCTGCACATTGTAAGGGCTGTTTCTGCTGTTTCCTGCTTTCTTAACTTTGTACTGCCTTCCTCGGTTTTATTTCTAGATTTTAATTTTCCTCAAATGTCTATTTGCTTCCCTCTCACCTGCTTGTTTCTACCTAAAATAAAGCAAATCTGAAGCCTCCTGCATGCCTGTCTGTGTGCGTTTCTGTTTGATTTTCAGATACTCCGGCTTCTCTTCATGTAAAATGATATTAGTTTTGCTGATCCCCTCTCTTCTCACCTTGGTCTGTTTTTTAATCTTGTTTTTTTTATATTCTCCCTTTAGTTAGTTGCTATCTCTTCCTTTGAAAAATTACCTCTGGCACAAGAAAACCAAAATATATGAAGTCCATTAATATTTTATATCGTTAAACAATCAGTTCAGCTTGTAATGACAGAGTTCAAAGCTCGATTTACTACCACAAATCAGAAAATAAAAGGAAAAAGGGATGAAAAACCAATCAAGCTAATGTATTTATTTATAAATATGCATACTTTTGCATTTCCTCTCTACAACACACTAATTGGTGCTATCGCTAGTATTTTTTTAAAACTAAAGTGGCTGCCGCGTCAGTGCTAGTTGCAGGTTGTAGTTTTTTCTTTGAGAAATATAACAAATTGATCATTCTAATAAAAAAAAAAGTTTTTAATTTCTCAATATTCTAATTCTAATTACCACATCCTGCTAGTTCCTTGTTATTGGATTTATCTTATTTTGGTTTTTCATTCTTTGCTTCAGCAGAATTGAATCCAGAAGGTAAGTGTAAATAAAGGAAAGTGGTATATGATCATCTTTCAGTTCAAAAACTAGAATATCATCAAAAATTCACTGAACAGATGATGTTTATCAAAGTAAGTAAAGCCCAAGCTGTTCTTTCCTTTGTACAGTAGCTCCAGAACAGAGCAGATAAACAACTGCAGCTTCCAGAGCGTGAAAGCATCTTGACCAACGTTTGACCTGGCGTCCAAGTTTGGGCATTTCCATATTTTTGACGCCCAAACCGCATTCACTTTGAATGCACCATTGCTTAGCTTGTCTAAACCAAGGAAATGCATTTATTTCAAGACACAATTATGTACATATATTGTGGTGTATGACAAAAAAAAAAACACACATTTTAACAAGGAAAGACTGAGCAGGTGTACTTTTTAATCAGAGTACTCTATGGGAAATAAGAACAAGTCATACAAAGATATTAGCAGCTACATAAATTAACGTTACATAACTGGAGAGTAGTAGGATACAAAAGTTCTCGATGTATCCTTAGCCTACATCCTAACTGAAGAAAGAATTCAGGTTCTTTAATGAAGTTTGGTCTCTGCTTCATGTTTAGGAACCAGGTGCTTGTTACAAAGGAATAACCACAAACCTTGAATGTAGGAATTTAACGTTTTTTTTCCATCTTGCCTGTAATAAAAAAAAAAAAAAAACCTGTCAGAAATCATAATTAGTATTTATCTAAAGTCTCCATCCTTCATGATTGCAGAATTATAAAGGAATTCTAAACTGAGCGTCACTCATGTCTTTCGCTTGAAAGGATGCTGAAGACCTGCACGGTCCGAATGAGCAGGAACATATCAGGCATGACAAACAGGAGAAACATCTGCTTCTGGTCCCGTCTCCGTACTGAACTCTGCTTTGAACCCTAAATGATTATTTCAAAGACTTAAAAGGATGTGTCACGGCAGTTAAAGCAGATGCTCGGTAATAATGCGTGGATGCCAGTCATGAAAAGGGAGGCTTCCAGGGTTGACTGAAGTCGACCTGCCCATTGTGGCATTTACATCTCATCTAGGGCCTGCATTTGTGTCTTTGTTAGTCATTCAAGCTGTCGGATAAATGCTCTCAAACACAGTTCAAGGTTCACTACATATCTGCATAGCTCTAAAGGAGTGTTTGATGAAATTACTAATGGAAAACCCCCAGAGTCTCTCAGCATCCCTGTCTGTCTGGAGCAGGGGCCTAAAGCGCCTGGAGGAAAATAACCAATCTGAACTTTTCCTTTGGTTAGTCACACCTCTTTTAAGATCACAAATGTACCCAGTTTAATGAATTTATTTGTGATATCATATGTAGAGCTGCTTAAACTACAGCATGATGAATTGAATGAAAATAATACCTAATTTCTAAAACTATTCAGAGATAATAAAAAAAAAAGTTAAATGTGTGATATTCACTCTGAACCCCCTAATATCAAGGATTGCTTTGCCTAAATAGTTTTTCTCCCTTAACTTTTTAACCTATTTTCATGACTCATACACTAACCTTAATATAATTCTTGATTTATTCCGATACTCTAATGAGGAAGGCAAAAAATGACATTTGAGTTGTGGACTTTATTGCTAGTAAAAACATGGAAGTTTATGCAAACATTTCCTCTTGATACCCTGAAATAAAATCCAGTAAAACCCTTATCAGTCACCAGATAGTAAAATAGAGGCCAGCCAGCTGCTCTATGAAGGTATCAAAGAGCAAAAACTATAGACGCGTCATGCTGTGGGGATTCTTTTCTTTGGCGAAGAGGGAATTTGTTGATGGATAAACCAAGGGAAAAATAATTCAGAAGCTGTAGAGGACTTGAGACTGGAGCAGAACATCCTATAGAGCAGAGGTCACGGATTGGCGTACCGCAGTTTAGAGCATGAAACGGGCCTTGAAAGTCAGCCCGAAACCGACCCGAGTCCGAAAGAACCAGGCCCGTGCCCGGCCCGGCCCGTTATGATTGACAGCTTCGTAGAGCCCGACCCGTTTGCAGCCCGACATTTTTCAATTGTGCGCATTAAGGGCTAATCTCCGTTTCACTTCTGTAACATCCATTTTGAATTCATCGCGTATAGATCGAACGTTATCACATGATCATTTATTTGCCGCGCATATAACGGTTTAAAGCCCGAACCCGCCCGGTCCCGTCGGGTTCGGGCTAATATTCCCTGCTCTACCGCAGTTGGATCCAGACCCACCGGCTGGTTAAACCGGACCCAACCTGATTTAATACATTCATAAATTACTGCATGTTGTCCGACGACAGTGTCTAATTTCACTTGTGCCGCTTCTCCTGTTAACATGGTAAAGTCCTCTGGAGCTTCTGGTACCAGGCTGCACATAATACAAATTAGCCAATGAGCTGTCAGTCTGGGCTGCTCCTGCTAGACACTTTTAGACACAGCATGCAAACCCGTGGCAAGCTGGGAACAGAGCCGGGAAAGAAGGAGAAGATGATGAGAAAAAGAAAGCAGAGAAAGCGTGGACTGCTGGAAGAACTATGGTGAACTTGAGAAAGAAAAGTGATGTATGTTTGGCTCAACCTACTGCTGTGAAACAGGATTCTCCACCATGAACATAATCCAAAATAAATATCGATCTAGATTCCAGGCTTACGAATGGGCACCTTGATATGTGCCTTAGAATGGCTTTGTCTCCATTCACTCCCAGCTTTAAAAGCCTTGCAGGGCAGCGAACGGCCCACTGCTCTCATTAAACCATAAAAAAGAACAAAAAGTCAGTTCAGGTGTTTTATAAAATATGTGAATCAGGAAATTGTCTACAGTATATACCAAAGTGAACAATTGTTGTCTCTACTTCAAAAAACACTTTAGATTTTAAAATGGAAACATTTTCTATTTTTTTTTAAAGTACTTTTTATTTAAAATTTCAAAGGATGACATGGATGCATAAACACCTAATTTTGTTTCATAGTTAAATTATGTTTTAAGTAACAGATTATATTTCAAAATGTCTCCGGACCTTTACTGGTTAATGATTTTCTTTATTTGGACCCCACAGATTTTTTAATTGCTCACCCCTGCTCTAGAGGGACAGGAGAATTTAATATAATGCCAGAGCTGGTTGAGAATGAAGGAAAATACTTTTTTTCTTGCTATTTTTAACTTTAAGATTTACACATATATTCCCGTCTCATTTGGGGAGTATGTCTAAAAAGATCCATGTGTGTTCTACAGTTAGAGAGGCCTAGTCAAAGTCTGGTTTTCCAGCCAAATAAATTTTAAATGATGTTTAAAACGTGGATATGAATTAAATAACATTTGAAGGATAAAAAAGGACAATTGTACCTTTGCATATTTAGACTTTTATTTGCAAGTAAAAATGTTGGAAACTAATAAATCCTTTTTGTCCTGGTTTATCTCTTAAAATCCCATGAAAATACTAGTAGTATTAGTTGTGTGCTCATTTCACAACAATTTGGAATGCATTTAAGGATATAGATACTTTTGCAAGGCAGGATCTCTGATTAGAAGCATGAAGATGTCTGAGATGTGTTTCTCCCGTCCATCCTGAGGGTCTACCTCTTCTATAAACCCCTTGAATGTAGCAGTTTGCTAAGACAGACTGCAAAGATGGACCCACCCCTAACATTCACTTATTGTTATGGGATTAAGATATCTGACTGGTTGTCTGCCGCGCTGCTTCAAAGGCCTGCAGCTGAGGGATGGATGGAAGATGGAGGGATAGCTGCAGGGAGGGGAGGGGGGTGGGGGCTATGATAGGATTTATGTGTAACTGACAGATGCAGGAGGGCTGTCATACGTTACTGTGTAAATGCTTCTTGCACACATATATGAAGTCTGGGATTGACAGCAGAGTGATATGGAGGTATATTAAGATGTGTGCCTGCTGCTAATGATACCCCAGAGACTGCATGACTCTGGAGATGCTCCCCCACCCGCTGCTTTGATACTAGAGAGCTACTAGAACACCTGTAATTACTCCACACTGTTTCTTGGGCCTACCTTTTAGTTTAAATAAGTCTGCATAGGTTGGATTTTGTATTTGACAGCTGTGGTTCCCGGTTCTTTGACCAGAGAAAGCTGCTTTCATCCTCCAGCAGCGCCGACTCTGGAGGGGGGGTCCTTTGTAATGCTGGATGGTTGTTTGATAATATGCCTGTCAATGCTCTCAGGACTTAAAAAAACATACGTATATTCAAATTCAGCCATTAAAAGAAGCAGCATGTTCAGATCTCTATGGGAAGTTACAGCGACTGTTGGTTCCAGCAGGTTTCTGCTGCAAAGCTGACTGATATATCGCCTCTATTTGAGGAACTAAACACTCACCAACCACTTTATTACAGTAGGTACACCTTGCTAGTACCTGCTGGACCCCCTTTTGCTTTAAGAACTCCCTCAATCCTTTGTGGCATAGATTCAACAAGGTACTGGAAACGTTCCTCAGAGTGTTTGGCCCATATTGACATGATAGGATTCTCCGCCTCCACCACATTGCAAAGGTGCTCTATTGGGTCTGCTAACAGTGAAGGCCATTTTATTACAGTGAATCCATTGTCATGTTCAAGAAAGCAGGAGATAATTTTCTCTTCATGATATGGTGTGTTATCCTACTGGAAGTAGCCATGAAGCTAATGGTCACGCTGTGGTTATAAAGGGATGGACATGGACAGCAACAATACTCTGGTACGATGTGGCGTTGACATGATGCTCCTCTGGTACTAAGGGGCCCAAAGTGTGACAAGAAAATATCCCCCACACCATTACACCACCATCAGCCTGTACCATTGATACAAGGCATGATGGATCCATGCTTTCATGTTGGTGAAGCCAGATTCTGACCCAAACATCCAAATGTTGCAGTAGAAATGGAGACAGTTGGACCAGGAAATGTTTTCCAATTTATTGTCCAAGTTTGTGGAGCCTGTGTAAACTGTAGCTTCAGTTTCCTTTTCCTAGTAGACAGGACCCGGTGTGCTCTTCTGCTGCTGTAGCCCATCATCCACCTCAAGGTTCAACATGTTGTGTCTTCAGAGATGTTCTTCTGCATACCTTAGTTGTGACAAGTGGTTATTTAAGTTACTGTTGCCTTTCTATCAGCTCCAACCAGTCTGACCATTCTCCTCTGGCATCAGCAAGGCATTTGTGCCCACAGAACTCCTACTTTCTGGATACTTTCTCTTTTTCAGACCATTCTCTTTAAACCTGAGAGATGGCTGTAGGTTAAAATCATAGATCAGTAGGTTCTGAAATACCCAGACTAGCCTGTCTGGAAACAACAACCATGAAAAATCCCCTTTCTTCCTCATTCTGATGTTCAGTCTGAAATGCAGCAGATCATCTCTACCATGTCTAGAGAATATTTCTGTTTTGTTTGTGTTTATTTTGTAACATGAAGCACAGCAGTGTTTGGCTTAAGAAAATGCAAAAGATCTTAATGAAAGATTAACTTTTACTTAAGTAGGGAAAAAAAGGATGAACAGATTGAAGGTACTTCATTGAAACAGGTATAAAATAGATAAATGTTGTCATTAGTTGAGGTCTATCAGTGTTTAATGTTTATTTACAAAACGAGAAACTCTAAAAATGTCAGACTTTTAAATACTACCTTAGTTGAGTACATACGCTAATGTTTGGTGAAATGTCACTTTAAGCAAGTTTTTTTTTTTTTCACCGCCAGCGTAATTCTTCCATGACAGCTTGGAAAAGTCTGTAATTCAGTTGAGTTTGCCGCTCTGGATGGAAATTTCTACTTTGTTTCTTATTCCATTGTCTAACTGGGGTCCTTCCTTCTATCCTCTTTCCTTTGTCTTCTTTAGTTCCAGGTATCCTTTCACCTGTCCTCCTGTCCTTGTTCAATACCCCTTTTCATATGTCTTACTTCCCCTCTGTCTTTCTTATCAATCTTCCCTTCCTATCAGACCCATCTCCTTGTTTCCTTCCTTTTCCCTCATGCCTTTCCTTCATTCTATACTTCCTTTCTTCCTTGTCCTCCATCCCCTATTGCTCTATTTCTATTTTTCCCTTCTTTTCTCCTTTATTTCCTCTTCATAGCCTTTCTTATTTAACTCCTCCCTTCCTTTGTTCTAGTGTGTGTTTCTGCCTGCTCACAGCAAATATTTGGAGTGTGTAGTATACCTAAAGACACTGAGCCTAAAAAAATATATTTTTTTTTTACATGATAAATTACAGTGAACTGTGTGATTCTAAATTGACATTTGAATAAATAGTAAATCTTACTCTAGAGCAGTTTTCAAAGGAAGGGTTTCCTTACCAACCCTCTAAGCAAAGTCCGTTAATCTATAATAGGTTTAAGGCAGGTCCCTTTTAGACGTTTAAAAAAATGCATTTTCACATCAGTTTCGAGTTCATTTCATTTTCTTTAGCATCAAAACAGGTTCTTATATGAAAACCTTTAGAACAAAGTTTGTTCAGTTCAATCATAAACACTGATTAAAAGTTATTGACAAACATTACAAATATATTCTTGTTGATAGAAACCCTGAGCTTACTTTAAATCTGGGTGCTAGCGCATTAATTAAAATAAAACCTTCTACCACAGTGGTCCGATATTCAAACTTCCACCTGAATTCTTGAAAGCTATCAGACAGTGTTTTTTTTTTTTCAGATTTTAGAGGAGGCATGTGTATATATTTTAGTATTTGTGCTATTTTCGATTCTTCATTTTAAGAAGTGCTTAATTTGTTTAGTTTTTTTGCATGTTGTGTTCCTGTGTTGGATATAACCCCCCAATCCAGTCCTGTGGGAAATAGATGAGCTCACTTGGAATCTTCTGCTGGTTAAAATATCATCAATTTTTCATGTGACACAGTTTAGAGCTGGCTCTGTTCTTTTCTTTGTTGACAGGAGCCTCGAAGCCACGATTCCACCCAGAGACCCTCCGGACCTGTCAGAACCGCTAAGCCAGACTCCACTATGAACGGCGGCGGTCACACGGCAACAAAGAACGGCGGTTACTACAGCGACCTGAGGAGCGGTGAGCACACAGCAGCAAGCTCTGTTTGTCCGTTTGAGCAGTCAGAGCGGCAACATCAAACCTGGAGTGTTTGTGTACTCCTGTTATCAGCTGGGTGTGTACTCCCAGGCTGTTAGTTGGCCCCCTCATAGAGTCTGTGCGTCTGGCATCGCTCGCCGCCCTCTTTAAACCCCAGTTCTTGTTCAGCTCTCCTAGATCATCGCTACCCACCACCCTTTGCATTTGTTATATTTCTCCAGCTCTATCTTTGCATCTCTTGTTGGCTCCATCCTTGAATATTTTTAGCAGGAGAAAGGACATCATTAACTATGTTTTTCTGATGCTCCCCTTTCATGTGTAAAAGATCTGACCTTGGAATCATTATCCTGATGAAACAGCTCCTAAGTGGGCCAGATTTGCATAAAGGGTATTATGCAGCATGAACGCTGTTGTGTTAAAAAGAAAGGAGAAAAAAAAAAACCTGTTTTGAATTCATTCTTTTCCTCTGTTCCTTTCAGTCACTCTGAAGTATTAGTACAGCAGGGGAAAGGGGTTTTCAGGGAATTGCTGCACTCTTGGGGTTTGCTTGTCATGGAAATGCAGGTAGAGCAGCAGAGCCATTAGAAGGAAGCCTTTCTGTTGAGGTGATTATTGCATGTCAGGAGTATCTATTGTAGGAGCATCTATTTTCCTTTAATGTAAAGCTCTTTCATTATGCTATAGTAATGGTCAGGACGATATGTAACAGTAGAAGCAACAACTGAGCGTGCATTAAGCTTTTATTGGATCCAAGGCTTATGTTAGAGGTAATTCAGACAGCTTTAGTTTTAAGTTGGCACAAAAGCAATATAAAGTGACTAAAAGCAGATGGAAAATAAATATATTAAATAAACCTTTATCAGCTTTTTTTTGTCATTCTAAGATCTGTTGGCTCAGACAGCATCTTTGATTCCATTCTGATGTTTTCTTTTCAGCTCCAGCCACCACCAACGGTAGCTATGGCGAATACAGCAACGACGATGATGAGCAAGGCTTCCCTCCGCCCCCCTCCCCTGGTTCTGTGGAGGAGATGAGCAGAGACTTAACTCTTACACCTCCCCACCGCAGGTATCCCTCCAAGATGCACACAGGGTTTCAAATACAAAGATTCTTGATTTAAAAACTTCCATTCCTTTTTAAAGTTGTATTTTTTGAAATTTTCAAAAAATTACTGCTTCCTAAATTTGAGCGGCAAAACTGTTAGATTAATGTTGCAGCATTACAGGTGTAGTGGAGGATTTTCACAAATAAAAAAAATAAAAAAATATACAGGTGCTGGTCATAAAATTAGAATATCATGTAAAAGTAGATTGATTTCAGTAATTCCATTTAAAAAGTGAAACTTGTATATTATATTCATACATTACATACAAACTCATATATTTCAGATGTTTATTTTGTTTAATTTTGATGATTACAAATGACAACAAATGAAAATCTCAAATTCATCATATCAGAAAATTAGAATATTACTGAAGACCAATAAAAACAAAGGATTTATAGAAATGTTGGCCAACTGAAAAGTATGAACATGAAAAGTATGAGCATGTACAGCACTCAGTATTTAGTTGGGCCTCCTTTGGCCTGTATTACTGCAGCAATGCGGCGTGGCATGGAGTCGATCAGTCTGTGGCACTGCTCAGGTGTTATGATAGCCCAGGTTGCTCTAATAGTGGCTTTTAGCTCTTCTGAATTGTTGGGTCTGGTGTATTGCATCTTCTTCTTCACAATACCCCATAGATTTTCTATGGGGTTAAGGTCAGGAGAGTTTGCTGGCCAATTAAGAACAGGGATACCATGGTCCTTCAACCAGGTACTGGTAGCTTTGGCACTGTGTGCAGGTGCCAAGTCCTGTTGGAAAATGAAATCTGCATCTCCAAAAAGTTGGTCAGCTGCAGGAAGCATGAAGTGCTCTAAAACTTCCTGGTATGTGGCTGCGTTGACCCTGGACCTCAGAAAACACAATGGACCAACACCAGCAGATGACATGGCACCCCAAACCATCACTGACTGTGGAAACTTTACACTGGACTTCAAGCAACGTGGATGAAGTGCCTCTCTTCTTTTCCTCCAGACTCTGGGACCTTGATTTCCAAAGGAAATGCAAAATTTACTTTCATCAGAGAACATGACTTTGGACCACTCACCCGCAGTCCAGTCCTGTTTCTCTTTAGCCCAGGCAAGACGCTTCTGACGCTGTCTGTGGTTCAAGAGTGGCTTGACACAAGGAATGCGACAGCAGAAACCCATGTCTTTCATACGTCTGTGTGTGGTGGTTCTTGAAGCACTCACTCCAGCTGCAGTCCACTCTTTGTGAATCTCCCCCACATTTTTGAATGGGTTTTGTTTCACAATCCTCTCCAGGGTGCGGTTATCTCTCTTGCTTGTACACTTTTTTCGACCACATCTTTTCCTTCCCTTCGCCTCTCTATTAATGTGCTTGGACACTGAGCTCTGTGAACAGCCAGCCTCTTTAGCGATGACCTTTTGTGTCTTGCCCTCCTTGTGCAAGGTGTCGATGGTCGTCTTTTGGACAACTGTCAAGTCAGCAGTCTTCCCCATGATTGTGTAGCCTATAGAACTAGACTGAAAGACCATTTAAAGGCTTTTGCAGGTGGTTTGAGTTAATTAGCTGATTAGAGTGTGGCACCAGGGGCCATCAATTTTGAACCTTTTCACAATATTCTAATTTTCTGATATGATGAATTTGAGATTTTCATTTGTTGTCATTTGTAATCATCAAAATTAAACAAAATAAACATCTGAAATATATGAGTTTGTATGTAATGTATGAATATAATATACAAGTTTCACTTTTTAAATGGAATTACTGAAATCAATCTACTTTTTCATGATATTCTAATTTTATGACCAGCACCTGTATATGCACGCACCTGTACCTGCTCCCGAGAGGGAACACCTATTTAATGCATGCTAGAGCATGCACAAGCCGATTTCTCCTCGTGCACACTCTGTTTAAAAGTTGCTGCTCTCACAGCTCATACAAGCTTACTGTGTCTGAACGTCCGCCCTAACCCCTAAATCCCTCAATCACTATATAGAGCACGGACTATATAGTGGACTTCATAGTGAACGCGGTTAACTGACCGTTTGGAGAGATCATCACTTCTTTTTGCTCCCCATTGGTCACGAAAATCCTCGTCCACTGCGCGGTGACTGCGGCAACTTTTTTTTATCAGTCTCCACTGTCAGGTAGCGGCAGCCTATGACGACAGCAGGCAGCTGTGACAGCAAATCCCATAACGCAAAGCATTCTGGGAAATATCTGCTGTTTCTGAGCCATTTTCAAAGTACCGCAGTGAGAAATGTGAGCTTCAATGACTGAAACTGTAGCTCACCACAGATGTATGCCTGAAAGTGAGCATGCGCAGAAAAAGATGGGACGTGCAAGTAGGGCGGCCTTACATAAACATATCACTAGAATGATTGACAATTAGGAGGACCCCTTATTTAGATTATCCTCCACTATACCTTTAAAGTAAATATGCATAAACACACTGGGTCAACTTCTGTTGTTTAGAACGGTCACATGGTTAAGTATTTAAAGGCATTATTTGAAATATCAGAAAAGAACTCCGGGATATTTAATTTGTCACCTTTCTTTTGTGATTAAATCCTAAACAAATCTCTATCCTTGATTGTTTTTTAGTGAGGTGCCCGGCAAGCCTACAGCTTTCTACCCGAACAGCAACCTGATCAAGGAAAAGGACAACGTGCCTCGTAACAGAACCTCCAAGAGCATGGACCTCGGTGAGCTCCCACTCCGTCCCCGCCGGTTGACACCTATACTAACCACACTGTGGCCTCGTCTATCACCAACCAGTGTGAAATAGTGGTTTAATCTCTGAGCTGGACTCCAAACGGCCACAGCGGAGATCACATGCTTCTTATCAGCTCCATTCTTTGTTGTGATATGTGCTCCACTGCTATTATTCCCAGCCTGGGGGGAATTGACCTCCTGAACTTATAAGCCCAGGGGCTTTCCAGCAAACTGCTGTGTGTGTGTTTGGATATGTTGCCAGTGATGAACAGAACGAGGTTTCTATCTCACAGCTTGTGGAAGTGGAGACCGAAGCTGCTGATTTCCCTGTATTAACCCTAGCTGACCCTTCCTTTTCTTCTGTCGTCGTTTTTCCCTCCATCTTTGTCTCTTTTTGCTTCTTTGTTTCAGTTTGTTGCTTTATGTGTTTATCCCTAATCTTTTTCATTTTTCTTTCCTCCCTCCACTCCCTTCATCTTCATCTCCTCTTTCCTTTCAGCACTTTGTTTTTCCAGCAGATGACTTCATTGCGCTCGCTCTCTTCTATCTATTTCTTTCTTCTCTGCCTCGGTCTGATTTCCAATCCCGGTTCATTAGGTTCAGTGGATTGGCTTTCTTCCTGCAGCACACCCCTCTGCCACCCAAGCTGGCTTTCATTATGGACAAGGGTGGGCTACACACACACACACACACGCTCTGCTTTATTCCACTGAGGACCCACTCCAATACCCACTACTATCTGCCACCCCACTACCGCTTCCATCTCCATTCCTTCTTCCTCCATTTCAATCTTTTTTTTTTTTCTGCCTCTCTGTTATCAGTTTGCTTCTATTCATCTTTTTCTTTTCTAAAACACTCTGAGATGAAAAAAGGTGGTTAGCTAGGCTTTGTGTGTGTCTGTGTAAAGACTGCAGGGAGCTCCGGGCGCACAGAAGACCTCAGACGGCTCTGACCCTGCCCGGATGGGTTTTATTTAAGGAGACAAATGCGTTTTTCTCCTCAGATAATGTTCCCATATGTCAATCCTTACGGTCACATGTATCTGCGCTTGAGCCACACCGGAGAGCAGGTTCACTTTTTATTAAACACCACTTGACACAAGGAGGTGAGCAGCTTTTATTGACCCTGGATACCTTAGCAAAGAAGGCTGTTGACTCAGAGGCTTTTGCTCACACACTGAAATCCTCTGCCACGAATGGGAGGGTTGTGTCTGCGTGCTAAACTCTCTGAAAACATCCAATAAAGCGTACTACTTTTTTCAATATGAAGATTATGTTTATATATATATATATATATAGATATATATATATATATATATCTATATATATATATATATATATATATATATATATAGATATACACTATATTGCCAAAAGTATTTGCTCACCTGCCTTGACTCACATATGAGCTTAAGTGACATCCCGTTCCTAATCCATAGGGTTCAATATGACGTCGGTCCACCCTTTGCAGCTAGAACAGCTTCAACTCTTCTGGGAAGGCTGTCCACAAGGTTTAGGAGTGTGTTTATGGGAATTTTTGACCATTCTTCCAGAAGCGCATTTGTGAGGTCGCACACTGATGTTGGACGAGAAGGCCTGGCTCTCAGTCTCCGCTCTAATTCATCCCAAAGGTGTTCTATCGGGTTGAGGTCAGGACTCTGTGCAGGCCAGTCAAGTTCATCCACACCAGACTCTGTCATCCATGTCTTTATGGACCTTGCTTTGTGCACTGGTGCACAGTCATGTTGGAAGAGGAAGGGGCCAGCTCCAAACTGTTCCCACAAAGTTGGGAGCATGGAATTGTCCAAAATGTCTTGGTATGCTGAAGCATTCAGAGTTCCTTTCACTGGAACTAAGGGGCCAAGCCCAGCTCCTGAAAAACAACCTCACACCATAATCCCCCCTCCACCAAACTTTACACTTGGCACAATGCAGTCAGACAAGTACCGTTCTCCTGGCAACCGCCAAACCCAGACCCGTCCATCAGATTGCCAGATGGAGAAGCGCGATTCGTCACTCCAGAGAACGCGTCTCCACTGCTCTAGAGTCCAGTGGCGGCGTGCTTTACACCACCGCATCCGACGCTTTGCATTGCACTTGGTGATGTATGGCTTGGATGCAGCTGCTCGACCACGGAAACCCATTCCATGAAGCTCTCTGCGCACTGTTCTTGAGCTAATCTGAAGGCCACATGAAGTTTGGAGGTCTGTAGTGATTGACTCTGCAGAAAGTTGGCGACCTCTTCGCACTATGCGCGTCAGCATCCGCTGACCCCGCTCCGTCAGTTTACGTGGCCTACCTCTTCGTGGCTGAGTTGCTGTCGTTCCCAAACACTTCCATTTTCTTATAATACAGCTGACAGTTGACTGTGGAATATTTAGGAGCGAGGATATTTCACGACTGGATTTGTTGCACAGGTGGCATCCTATCACAGTTCCACGCTGGAATTCACTGAGCTCCTGAGAGCGACCCATTCTTTCACAAATGTTTGTAAAAACAGTCTGCATGCCTAGGTGCTTGAATTTATACACCTGTGGCCATGGAAGTGATTGGAACACCTGATTCCAATAATTTGGATGGGTGAGCAAATACTTTTGGCAATATAGTGTATATATATAGATATATATATATATATATAGATATATATAGATATCTTTTTTTTTTTTTTGTTTTACGGAAACCGAATGGAGAGCTAGTTCTTTTTTTCCTCCCTAATGCTTTTATTAGTCCAAAGCTTTGGGAAAGTGGCTTGTATGGATTGTTATTAAGATGTTTAAAGTGCAGGGAAAGAGCAGACCTTTTAGAAACTGTGGAGTCTCCGAATCCTGATCGACTTCACAAGCAGTGACTCATGGTTATATCAGAGAGGTTTTTGAAGGAAATCTGTTAAAGTAAAACAACAAACTCCTTTAATTTTCCTGAAGTTTGAGCAATATTTGGAAATATTTGTGTTTAACTCCTGTTTACTATATACTTCTCCTCCTTTTCCACGATCATGATGTGCTTAATATTGATTTTGTAGATGAGGGAAGCAATGGCAGCAAAGGTCTAAATGGCCTAAAATGGGGTTTGATGCCCGCAAAATAGAAAAGTTTGTTATATAAAAATAAAGTCCAACTCTTCCAAAAAAAAAAGACAGCTTGTACCTAAAAAAACTGTGGTGGATCCTAAAGTTCAACCTCAGTCCATGTCTTGTGAATCTCCCCCTAACTCTTCTGTGCACAATCCTCTCAAGGCAGATTTTTTCTTCTTTTTTTCTGTCCTCTTTAAATTCAGGGACACCAGTTTTCTCAAGTTTGACCATTCTGTTGAATATGAAGTAGCTACTGGAGGTTAAAGGAGGGATTTTACTTTTTAGCCTTCCTGCTTGCATCCAAGCTGGCTGCTGGCAATGCAGACTTTTTTTTGCCAGGGTCATACAGCTTGGAATGCTTTTCTACCCTCAAACTATTTGCTTATATTTAATCAGACACACAGGACATGCATTTCTTCTTGCTATGGATGTTTAAATATCGTCTGCGTAGTTTTTTGTTTTGGTTTTGCACCCCTCTCTTCACACCTCCATGTTTCTAATATCGCTCCCTTCCTTCATCCCCACCCCCACGTATCTCCGCTGGGAAAATTGCCTTCATAAAAAATGAAAAGGATTATTTAAGAGAAACAGCAGCCTAATGAAAACCTATTATCGTGTCCCACGGCGAGGCGCCCTTGGTGGCTGCCGCCGGCCCACCTCAGCCCTCTTACAGGTGGGGGCCCACGCCCGTTTCTCTGGGTCCCTTTTATTATTTCACTCCTCTTTATCTGTTCTCGTTTTCTCCTGTAAACCCAATCTTTTCTCACATTTAGCTTCTTTTTCATTTCCTCTCTCAGCGTGTGCCGCCGCCCGTCCTCCACCACGTTATGCAGGGATTCATTTCCAGCATATGCCTGTTCCATTATGAGGCAGTATAAAGCATTTGTGAAGCAGCACAAAGCCCAGGAATGGTCCGAATGCTGCTTTGTGTCGCAGAATATGTTCCTCGTGTAATAAAGGTGTTTTTTTTTGTGTGTCCTAGTGGCGGACGAGAGCAACGTTGGATTGCTGGCGGGGCAGAGAAATGGTGAGTGCCTCCTAAACAAACCTACCTTCCTCATTCCCAATGTTTCCTTTTATTCTTCCCCTTTCTTGTTGCTCTTCCCCTCCCTTCGCCGCCCAGCTGACACAGTTGAGTTGTGAAGCACTTAGTGTGCGAGCTCTTGCTGCTTTATAGCCATCCAGGTCAGGAAGCCCACAGCGTTCAATCCTCGCCCAGCTGACAGCAGCCGTATTACATCACAATTGCTTCGGCTGCTGTTATTTGTTCACACTTCGCTTCTGCCTCATTTTTATTTGAGTAATGTCTGCTTTAAGGTAAACCAGCACAAAAACGTTAGCGCTTTTCTTCTTTGAGGGAAGAGTGCTGGATCAAAGTGCAGCTGATGTATTATTCTCTAATAGTGCCTTCAAATGCGACTGCAGGAGCACATTCTCTCAGTTCACGAACAGAAAGATGACGGCGTGCCACCCGCAGCAGGCTGCCGAAATGACGTGTTCTCCTCAGAAATGGAATAAAAGTAGCAGAGAGCAGGGAAGAAAGGCAGTGGGGATGTTTTAGATGTCTTCTTTTGGTTTGAAAGGGGGCTTGGGAAAAAAGAGGAGTCACGTTTTTAAGATGGGCCCTTTGTTTGATCCATGGATGTTAGACTTAAAGTTATAGTTGAGGATGTAATGCAAATTTTTTAAAAGACCCGCCCTTTCCACTTGAAAAAGAAAATAAAAATACACATGCACAACCCTGTACCCACTCCAGAGATGGAACGCCTATTAAACAGGTGCGAGAGCGTGCAAAAGCCCATTTCTCCTCGTGCACGCTCTGTTTAAAAGTTGCTGTTTGCATCTCCCATACAAGCTTACTTTCCAAAAGAAGATTTGCAATTTTTCCACTATGTCTGACTCATGACCGGTAAGTGAAAATGGGGACGAAGCGTAGCACAGCCTTACGTAAACATATCACCAGAATGATTGACAATTAGGAGGAACACTTATTTTTAAGATCCACCTGGAAAAAGTACATCCCCCACTATACCTTTAAGATAAATTATATAAAAATTTGGTTTTGAAGCAACACTCACAAGTACAACTCCATAAATTAGAATATCATCCACAAAGTGATTAATTTCACTAATTTGTTTTAGAAAAGTGAAATGCTTAGATTATTTAGATTAACAAACAAAGATGCAATTAAATCATTTACTTCTCATAAATTTTGTCCGCCAAATGGAGAAAAAAATGACTACTCAAAATTAATTTAATATTAATTTCTATTGCAGAACGGTTTTCTTTGTACTTTGCAGCATATGCATTCAGTATTTGGTTGCTCCATTGGCATGATTTCACTGCATTAGTGCAGATTAGGATGGAGGTATTTCACCTGTGGTATTTACCATAGGTTTTTTTTTTAGCCTTTTTTATTTATTTTTTTTTTTGTCTTCCTGGCAAATGCGTTGTCTGTCTGCTTTTTTTTCTCTCCACACTTTTTCTTTTCACTAGTAGAATTACATGAGGGGTGCACGATAATTATAGGGACAATAACTTGTTGAAAAATGATGGGTTTTCTTGGCTCATTAGCCACTTGGAGCCATGCTTCACCGTGCTGAGGCGACGCTACATTTTCTCAGTATGATGCTATCACAAAATGCATTCATACACTGATTGACGGCAACATTAACATTTTTGTGAGAAATGCACTTTTTCAATTAAATATTTACATACTCAAATGTCTAAAGTTGATATGAATAAATTGAATTTAACTTTTCTATCTTATATATTTCAGATGTTAATGTTTCTTCATATAAAAAGTATTCAAACAACAAGTTCTTTTGGTCGTATTTAGAGCATAATTATCATAATCTTACACTCTTGCTTACAAGACTTTTTCTTATCATTAGATATCTTATAGGTAACCGATGGCCTTTAGAAGGAGGAAGTTATCGGTTATTGATATTGGTCTTAAAAAAATCCTTTAAAACAAATATTTTTGGCCTTCTCCCCTTATGGAGGCTATCGACGATCATCATAGTCACTACTGGTTGTTAAGGTGACATGATTTTTGTATAATATTTCAAATTAAAAATCAGATTTTCTAATAATTCCCTATAAGTGGTAATTATCCATAAAACAATCAAAAATAGATGCAATAAAGTGAAAGTTTTTGGAAATTGCATTAGATTCACCTGTACTTCCTGGGGCTGTTGAAATCGACCAATCAGAGCTGCTTTAGTGAATGAGTGGTGTTTGAATGGAAGATGATACATCAAAGGATGTGGAAAAGAAATCATGCATGAATGGAAAGATGAGGTATAGTTGGAGGATTGATCATTTAGTGTCGTGATTCTCTGGACCAATCACTAAAGGTCCCTGTAAGAATGTTTTTTTACTCATTTGGTCATTATGATCTTAACTTCTCTGTTCAGCCACCAAACTTCTATAGATCTTGTTTTTAGGTAAGTAAAGGGCTGTGACCAGTCTCTCTGCTTCTGAAGCGCACACCTCCACTGATCTCCACCCACCTGCAGCAGCTGAGAAAGCTTGCTGCTGGTTGAAAACAAATGGCCTCCGATTCTCCATACTCAGCATTCACACAAGTGGCTCCAGCTCCTGCTTCTCTCCACTCTCACCATCCTCTCTTTATGATTAGCCTCATGTATCTGATGGTCCATGATAAAAGAAAGCGCTCCATTTCTCCCTTTCTTCTGGCATTTTTCTCTTTTCCTCCTCTCCAGTCGACATCTTGCCTAATGTGTATTGACGGGCTCTTGCATGGTTTTCATTTTTGCTGATGCAGTGTATTCGCCCGGTTTCCTACTCTGCGCCGCGCCCCACCCGACGCACTGCCCGCCTTCCTAAATGACCTCAGTGTTTCTTTATGGGCTTTGACATATTTCATTAGGCGGATGGTCTTAAGAGGCCCGCCTGGCTTCTTTAATCTGGCTAAAACCTTTTTCCCCCTCTCAGGCTGAACCTGCTCCGAGGTGCGTTTGCTTTGCTCCTCTAGCTCCCTCTCCTCCTCCTCCTCATTTCATCGTTCTCTCCGGCACTTTCTTCTGCTGTCCCACCCTCTTTCCTCTTCTGTCTTCATGCTCTTCTCTCCATCGTCAATATAGCTTTGAATTTATTTTCTTTTTCTCTGCTTTCATGTTTTTTTTAAACACTTGTTTTGTTTGTTTTTTTGTTTTGCCACTTCCTCCCACTGGTTTCTCTCCTGGTGCCAGCTGTTAGCATCCTCTCTGTATCCCATAACGCCATTCCTCTTTCTCCCATTTTATCCTCCTCTCTGTTCTACATCCAATTCTCTTTATTCTCGCTTTGGTTCCATGTCTCTCAGCGGACCGATCCTTTTTTTAGGATCTCTCCCCTCCCTCCTCCCTGCTCTGTTGCAGCTGTATCTGTTCCAGTCTTATGTGATTATGGTGAACATGCTCCAGTCTCTGTGTTTCCTGCACCGAGGCATACCCAGCGCAGCATTTCCCCACGTTTTTAAGAATGTGTGTGTGTGTGCAGCAGACAGCCGGAGGAGTAATGAACAGCCATCCTTTCGTTTTACCCTCCGGTTCTCTTCCTGAGGATCTAACATCACATCAGGCAGCCGGCTGCCCTCTTACAACACACCTGGGAGCTCATCCAGATGAAACTCCCACCTACTCGCCCACTGATGCTCTCAATATGCACATAGACACAACAGCTTCATGCGTTCTTGCTGCTTTTTCTCTTCTTTGTCTTACTTTTTACTTAAACCCAATAAATCAACTTGGTGTATTGTTTCTTCTGCTTCCTGTACTTACATATTTAGTTAGCACAGATTATGTGATCATTAGTGACAATATTCTAGGGATGCACGATATTGGGATTTTGGCCGATATCCGATATGCCGATATTTTAAACCTCATGTAGCCGATAACCGATATCGATACCGATGTTAAAGCTGGACAAAAATAAGTAGTCATTGAAAATAGCAGTTTTGTTATCCATTTCTGACACTTTGAAAAATAATATACTCAAATATATTTTCATATGCTGATATCAGATAGATTTTTAAAAACGCGATATCGATCTATTTTACTTTCAAAATCTCGTGAAAGTTCATCTTTCTGTTACAAACTCTCGTGATATTTTGCAAATTCTTGTGAGATTTTGTTAGTAAAATAGATCAATACCGCATCAATATATCAGCATTTAAAAATATGGCAAAATTTCGTGAATTTTCGGGGGATTTCGTAGCATAACGATGACATATAGCAATATTTCATTAGTAAAAGAGATTGATATGGTGTTTTTAAATGGCAATATATCAGCATATGAAGATATTGTGATATTTTAATGTATCAATATTTTTTCCCTCGTCTTTAGAAGTTTTTAAGTCTGTAAAAAAATAAGTTTTTGAGGAAGAAGAACTAGTATTTCTTTTTTTTATTTTTATTTTTTTTTAGACTTTAGAAACTCAGAAGCTGATCAAATATCGGGTTAAATATCGGTGGGGTGGCCGATGTCCGATATTCCGATAGGGGGCCGATTATATCGTGCATCCCTACAATATTCCCCATTAAACTTCTCATGACAGTCTTCCTGTTTTTTTGTTTTTTTAAATGCTAAAGCACGCATTTGTTAGCATATCTATTTTTTTTTTTAAACTAGCTTGCTCTTCATCATTTTTAGCCAAATTGAAGTAGTTGAGTTTCTAAAAAGTTGCAGGTTGCAGATCCCTGCCCTAAATAACCTTATAGTTTCCACACTGTTTAGATTAAATTCACGTTTGTTCCTGTCAGTTTAAAGAAAACCCAAAAACATTGATCTTTAGTCAGCCTCATAACCGTTTACATCCTCTACTCCTCCTTTGCAGATCTACAAATGGCACGCTTGACCCCACGCTTTAACCATCCTGTAAGCTCAGCAAAGATGGGGCAGGAGTTATGGATGGCCTTTTTAAGTTCCCTCCAGTGATTACAGCTATTCATCAAGGTTAAAGCTAAATACATACAGCCTTACGTCCACATTCCCCCATACATCTAAACAGCTAAACACAAT